ATGTATTTATATATATGTATAATTATTTATTTATTTAATTATTTATTTATTTATTTATTTATTTAATATATTTCTTTGTTAATATTATTATTTGCTGCTTTATCAATAATCCATTCCAGATAAATCGACTCAAAGAGAAATAAAAAATGTTAAGCATATACGATTTATTAACTTGCTAAGTTTATTGCGCGATTACATTATTAAATTTTATTTTATTAAGGTATATAATTGCATTATGTATGGATATGTAACGGTATAGCCCTGCGGAAACATGTTGCATGAAACGAAGCAATATGTCACGCGAATTATTATGGACGCGCGATGGGCGTTACGATCGTTATCGATGGTTGCGCGATAAAATGATCATTCGGAGGACGCACGCGGATCTTATATCAATTTAATGCGCACGCGGTTGTACCTGCTGAAAAGGAAAAAAATCGTGCGCCCATCAGTGAATCTGCGTGCTGCAGGGCGCGGAGTAGCAGCAGCGCACATGATGCGCGCCTCTTAAGTGTACGCGCCGAGCGAGAGGCAAAGAAGTCACATACAGGTACACATTCGTAAGATGCAGCTGGACCTGAGGGAAGCTGCGCCATGAAATCGCGGTAAGATTTTACGACCGGTTATTGCCCATCAGCGAGCACACCCACGCATAAGGACCGATAGAGGTATTTTGGCCGCCTCAGGCGAATTGGCGAGTCTGCGTCTCGCATGATAGAGAGAAACATAGGTTTGGCGAATTAAGTCTACCTCTTTCTCCGTAAAGTTAATATGATGCAGTATCATAATGTTGGAATATATTATATATAATGGAATAAAACATATTATGCGTGATATAATTTTAAATAATATTTATAGGCATAGGGTGTGAAAATTAAGAAACATATAGTTCACATAGATAAGTAACAAAATAGAGTCTGTAAATAAATAATAAAATAACATTTTTAAACACTGGACTGGACACTTAAAAAGGATAAATTTAAAATAAAGTTTCGGCTAACAAATAATTATGTATAAATATAATTTTACAATTATGTATCTAATGAATAACACATTAATCTGTTATCATTAATTTTTTTCCAAAATTGATCATATATACTAATTGTATACTTATCGTTTCATGGCTGATACTCTTTTGTATTTCAAGAAGAAAATAATTACGTTGAAAAATGTTTTTCTTAGTACTTGCATAATTGATCAAATTTTTCAATTTTGCCAACATATTATTAATCGTTATAGATTTGCACTTAAAGAAAGAAAGAATTTAATTATGAAAAATTGATTATGTAAATTATTTTTTCAATAAATTTACTTTATATATTGATATATGGATTAATATATATAAAAAATAATTAAAAGATATATTTATCAAGAAAGTGTCCCTCGCAATATATTTTGCAAAATATGATTTATCATTATTTTTGTTCAGGAGAAAAATTGATTAATATTATCTGAGGATTATCTGTGATAATTTTAAAATTTCTCTGGTTCTATAGGATTATCCAATTTTATATATTTATCTCTTTAGAATTAAAAAATAAAGAAGTAAATTCATTTATCAGAGATAAATTCAATATTTCTAAGAATTATCAGGAGAATCATATATATGCGTATTATAAGAACAATCACAAGATGATAAAACATTTGTAAAGTATTAAAATTAAACTTGAGACAAAAAAGGAGAGAGATATAATTCCAAATATAATTAATTTATTGAATATTTCAAGACAATACAACGAAAAATAGGTTTTCCAAGAAATGGAAAATATTTTTGTTTCCCAACTTTTAAAGAATGCAATCTTTGTTTGATAGAGAATAATAATACATACAATTCCGATATAAAATTACTTTGCAGATATTACTAGCGATGTTTGCATTGTCCACATGAAAATGACGCACGATCGGAAAGTAAGCATGCATCCAGGTGCACCTGGTCACGAATATGTATCGCACGAAGCAGGTATTCGTTTACGTGTATCAGGCATGTGCCAATATCCTTCGATCGTGTCATGTGGCAGGTAACGTAGTTTCCAAGGAACAGATGGTAAATATTAGCTCCCGCGAGGCAGTTTTTATAATCATCCATCAAACTTTAATATATTATATTTCATAATAATCTCACACTTATCTAACTACCTACGTTAGCGTTTTTCTAGATAAGATAGATGTAGATATCTTGTACAAAATATATTGATCTTTATATATACTTTTGCGAAATTATAAAAAAAACATACATAATACTAATTAATTAATTAAAATTTTATTTATTTATAGAGAAAAAAATCCTAAAAAATCAGGATATAAAATATTCTATTTCTTCTAATTTCGTCTATTTATTTGAAAATAAATCTATTAATATTTTTAAAAATAACAAATTGAACAAAATATTTACTTTTAATAATACTACTAATTTATAATCTATCTTTGACTAATTTAATATTAATCTTGTATTAGAATCGCACGATTCTAATTATATATAAACGTTAAAGGAAGCTTTAACAAGCACTCTCATACTTCCAGCAGCCAAGAATAGAGAAGGTTAACATGACAGCGAACAGAATCAACATCGAAAATTGATCTCTCAGGGCAAGAAAAAGAGAGCTCCATGTCGCTTATCTAGCTAAGAGGTTAAATAAATCTCATCCGTTCTTTAAATGATAGCTGACCGCTCCCATCGTGTTCAAGAAAAGACAATTTCGCGCTGGCTTCGCGCGTTTGGCCGACATATAGAAAGTGGAATAAATCGATGAACTCTCAGGTGCTTAAGCGCATCGTGACCTGCCTTCAGCATAGCTTTTGCAGTCGCTATTTGCTCATCGTCATCTCTCGGGGGACTTTCTTCTTATCGGGGGGGCTTTTCTTCTTTTCTTCTCTCCTCGACAATGCAAATGGCTCGAGTGCACTCGTTCGTTCGAGCTCTGCGTTTATTATCGCCTTTCACCGAGACTTTGACGATCGGTATGTCATACCTGTCGTCGTAGATTTTCTAATACAACTTACGCGAGGTATATTTATGCGTGAATAATGAAACGTCGTTGCGTGAAAATGCGAAACCAAGCGATTTCAAGTTCCACCTCCCACGCGCCTTTTCCGATCCGAACTCGCTGATTCTCTCATGAACTGATTTTCTTTTCGATGACGAGTCGAATCCCATGCGCAGAAGATCAAGCACAAATGCCTTTGCTCTTTACTTATCGAAACAATCGCAAAAGCTCGTGATTCGTTTAGAATTTTAGGAGAAAGCAACGAGTTGCGTATGTGCGATAATGAGAATAAGTAAGAGAAAATATTATAGAGAAATTGTGCGCGTTCGCTTATGCATACGCGTTTTGCGTACGTACGCATTGCCAGGTTTTTTTTCGAATAGAAAGCCGAATCCATGTCGTTTGTACACCACATGTTATACGTAACCTTAGATTATTGTCTCGCGGCTCGACAATCGGGACGATTAATCGCCGTCTTTGTAAGAGGGGTCATCGAAACGAACGTTGGTACAAATCGTACCTGATGACCCTTGACCCCATAATTTATAACATCGCACCCATTATCGCGTCAGAACGATAAGCTATGGTGCTTCATCATAATTTATTACAAATATGTTTTTCTCGTTCACGAAAGTCACAATTAATGGCGATCCAATGTTTCTATCGACAAAGGAAAATGCATTATTAATTATATAATACTTTCGCTTCATTTCTGCACGTTTATCATCAATGGTTGTGACATGGGTTGTGACATGATTTCATGTAATGTAAGAAAAACAAAATTTTAATATGAATATTATTTCTTTTATCAAACTGTGAATTTTAATAATTTACTTTCTACTGTATGTGTACGTGTACACATTTATTTAGAAAGTAAATTATTAAAATTCACAGTTTGATAAAAGAAATAATATTCATATTAAAATTTTGCTTTTCTTCAAATATTAATACAAATAATAAAATTTATTATAAAATTAATTTATTATATAATAATAATTTCTTTGTGCAATGTATAAATATTAAATTATTTTAAATATGGATTTTTTTAAATATTTCAAATAATGTCGGATTATTTCTATTATTTCGATATGATTTAAAACGGATCTTTTTTTTCGACGAAAAATATCAATTATGATTTTCGTATAATTAAAAAACTCACGCATACACTCCCTTCTCTTTGTAATTTCAGAATATGTTACGTAATGATTATATTTTAGTTTCCATAGCACTTTCACAGCGTCGTATATATTATGATATGTAAAATATCAGATTATAAAAGTGAGTTTACGACATGCATATCCATCTTCTGCACGATTGCGAAGCGGAAAATTATTTTTCCGCGTAATTAAAACAAGTACGCCAATTAATTTAACGCGATTTTATTACGCGAAACCTGCTCCTCGGATTAAATCTTACCGCACTCGCGGATGTGACCTACTAAGATAACGATATGTAACTCCGAGACATGTGTTACATCTGCTCAGTTCTACCTTGCTTCTCCTACCCCATTAATTAAGATTCAAGTGACGTATCGCGCTGTCGTGATTATTGATTAATCACCCGTATGGCGCATCGTGCCTATCAGACGTTCTGCAATTCAATACTGATAATATACGATAATTCTATACATGTGCCTGTGCGAATTAATTGAGATAACGATACTTATATATACAATCTTACTGCAAACGTAAGCAGTTCGCGTACTGATGAATAAGTCTTTGAACCTCTCTTATTCACTCTCAGCTGTGGACATATCAAATAACATTAATTACGTTAGCAAAGATGAGCAGAGATGAAGATTCGTGATATTTTAATCATCAATTCTTGCAAGCTCGCCGTAAGTGTGATCGCAATAATTGTAAAAAATAAGGATTTTTAGAATCTCTCTCTTTATATAAGAATCACGATTAATCATCGATTAAAAATCGATTAAACATTGTCTCTGCTAATTTTTAACTTTTTTAAATAACTCGTAGGAGCAGTAAAAAATGAATTTCTTTATTTCATATGTTACAGCAGCAATAAGTCAGGATCTTGGCATCGCGGGCAGGTTTCCCAGCGATCCAGCCCCAGCCCCAGCAGACTCCATCGCGTGCAGGAAGCGGCCACATCTCACACAGCTCCAGTTTCTGTAAGTACTTTAATCCGCCCTCTCAGAAGAGTGATATTTTTTGCCGCGTCTAATAACAATGGCTCTACACGCTATCTATACCAGAGAAAGATCAGTTGAATTAATGACGTATTATTATGGCTTTGATATTATTTGATATAAATTATTCATTTTGATTTGATGAGAAAATTATTCTTCGCATATATGTCTTTTAGACGTATTGATAAAAAAGTTTCAGTACTCAATTACTATTAAACGTACATAAAAAATAATGATTTGGTCTATTATTTTAAAAATTTGAGGAGATCAATCTGAAAAACTTTAATATTATATAATATTTTTTTTCTACTTATTTGAAAATTCATGGAAACAACACTTAATAATAAAACGAATTTTCATGTTTTGTCTTCTCCGAATGGCAGATAAATACAATTGATTCCTAAGGATGAAATCGATATGCATATTTCGTATCAAATGAGATTCAATAAGAATACTAGTTGACATAATAAATCGTAAAATGACTATATTTCTAATGCAACCTAGTAAACTCACTGTTATACGACGATTAAGTTAGTCATGAGACACATTCCCGGGTTTAATTAAGCAGACCACAAGCGGCGCCATTAATCTTCTGGGCTTCGATATATACAATACATGCTTAAATCGAAGCACAATATGATCGTATATCTAATATCATTAATTTTTATTTTTCACCTGTGTTTACAAAAAATGACGAGAAAAAGATTTCCGAAGACAAATATTTGATTCTATCAATAATAATACGTTAAAAATCCATTAATCCTCAAATTGGACGTATATCTCTATTTTTCACTGGATTTGTGATTTTTTTTCATTTTTAAAGAGCCTGTTCTTGACAGTTTGGTGCATTTGATATACCCAATTACAGAATTATATAAGAATCCATCTACCTCTTTTTCATCGGCTGGATTTGTAATTTTTTTGTAACATGTTCTCGAGGAGACTGTTCTTGATAGCTCGATGCACTTGATATACCAGATTACGGGGATTATATAAGAACCTATACTCGTTTTCCCGGAATTAAAAGTTGATATATATTACGCTAATGCGATTCATTCGTCATGCGTTTCAAGTAGCTTTCCTTAGCTTTCTGGTATTTCCGGCATCGCGTCAGGAAACTGCGATATTTTATCCGACGAGGTAACGTAAATATGCGACAAATACAGCGGAGCTTGTCACGGATTCCTAGTCGATAATTACGCGGAAGTGATCATCGATCGGCGACACCATGAATAATAGGCAGCGTTGCGGATGACGTCTCGGCTGTGGATGCATGCGTAGAGATGCATCCTCTGCGCTGCACGCGACTGTGGTGAACCGCGGCTGGCTGCCAACGACCCACATGTATCATTCGCAGTGACGACAGTGTGTGTCAATTCGTTAACGTCCATCGCGATGTGTCGTATCGTACTGACGCTATCCGCCACGCATTTACGATGTTCGTTAGCATAACCAAACGGAAACGGACGTTTCAAAGCGAGAAATCTCAAGTACGCATATTTTTAACAATGATATGCGCGCTAAAATATTCGTGCGAACAAAAGCGATCATGTCATAAGTCTTAATTATTACGAACACGCCTAGATATTTGCACAGGATACTCTGCGAAAAAGCTTGAGAAATATTTTCTCTCTCGTGAACAAATTCTTTGATAAAATTAGTGCGGATTTTCACGTAGGATGAAGCGGATCGAGGTCATAATTGATGACAGATTTTCGAGTTTTTGGGAGCAAGTAAATGTTAAACGAAATTTCCATTTGAAATAAAGAGCGTTGAATAAAGCTCGATTCAAATTTCCGTAATTCTGCTTAAATTAAACGCCATTATAGCGAGATGTTTAAAGAATGTATGTCAACGATTACAATCCACGAGAGAGCAAATTTATTTTAAAGGATAGATTATACGTGTGTGTATATGTGTATATATATATATATCTTATATATCATTATGCATCGCTTTCTCGCCACGTGGGAATTTTAATTAATAAAACGTCGCGCACAGTGGCGAGACAGCTGCAGAGATATAATCGAGCTTGGTGGCACGATAGCATTTGCACCCCTTTCATTTTCCATCTAACGCGAGAGTACACATGAAAGGCTGGACAAAAACCAACGCGAAATCAATGCTTTCGTTGATTATCGCACGAATAAAATGTAGTTTCCAGCGACGCGTATTGAGCCGATAATGTGCGGATTAAATTAATAAATTACTGAAAAGAGAACTATTAAAACAATTATTATAACTGGCATTGATTATATCATTCGTACGCATTTACGCATTTAATATGTAAATAAAGGAGAAATTGTTTCAGAGCTCTGTAAATAATCATTCTTCATTTTTCTGATAAAAAAGTTATAAATTAAAATTAAAATTCTGTTATTTGTAATTTATTCATCACGAAGATCAACAGCATTGAGAAAATCAATACGATGATATAACGAGAATCGTTGATCTTAAATAAAACCAGTTGCCCGGTAACCCATATGTAGCGAAGCTTAGCAATATAATATTGAGTAACCCGGTCAACGACATCGATATTGATATAAAGGTATATGAATGATCAAGCACATTCTAGTGCGTACCTAGTCGAATCGTGGGAAAGATATATACGCAACTTTCTCAGGTTATCAATTATCATCACTAGTATATTCCTAAGTATGCTTCTTGCGCATACTAATCTTGCATTTGAAAATAAATTTGACCCCCTTGTCAGTCTATTGGTATACATGGGGAAGATGGAGCAAGCAAATGTCTTATCGATAAATGAATTATATTGTTCTGGAATTATCTAAATCGTCATCTAATACTTCATCAATTTACTATTCGATTTGTTAATATCTTGTTGCAGCCTTTGCACGACTACAGAACGAGTGGCCACGCCGGAAGAGAGAGGAGGCGAATTCCCGGTCTCAGCAAAGCTCAACGGCGGATCAAAGCGTCCAGCACCCCGGCGCTTTTAGATAGGAACCATGATAGGTAAGTGTGTATCATGAATTGACTTAGCGTTAATATTCAGAAATACTTAGAATTAATCATCGCGATATTGTCCTATAAATCCTGCATTCTGTAATTCGAATTTATTTTTTCTTTGCAAGTTGAATAATAAGTTAAAATACAACATCTTTAATATAGAATTATATTCACATATTAAAGACTTCAGCCTAATTTTTAAATCTTTATTGAAAATTTGTCAGTTTACATATTATTATGTATAAATTTTTAATATATCATTAATTAATACAGAATTAATTATCGCGATATTGTCCTATAAATTGTGCATTCTGTAATTCGAATTTATTTTTTCTTTGCAAATTGAATAATAAGTTAAAATACAACATCTTTAATATAAAATTATATTCATATATTAAAGATTTCAGCCTAATTTTTAAATCCTTATTGAAAATATGTCAATTTGCATATTATTATGTATAGATTTTTAATATATCATATCCCATTAATTTCTCTCATGATTGGAAAATTGAATATTGTATCATAAAGATCATTGAAAAAATATCATTTTATAGCCTACATTCCTAGACATGGATAGAATTCTTTTGAATCACGGAAACGTAAAAGTATGAGCGTAAAAATGTTATGTGGGTGGTAACCTCCCATCTTGCGTTCTCTTGGGAAACCGGGTTTCCTCAAAAAGAACGATACGAAGGGTGGCCACGACAAAGGTGATTGTGAGAATTTTTATTCCGCTCTCCCTCAACACGATATGTTGCATCTATTCTACCGATACATGTCTCCACTTGTGTTCTTGCCCATAAATATTGCTGCGTTCAAAGCTTGCTTATGAAACCTGCCCGCTTTGTTCGCACATTTTACGATTTTCTTGAAATTGAACTGCAAACATCATAAATAATCAACCCCCGCAGTTGAATATCGCCTGGACCAATATTCCGGATACGTGACGATGACGATAATGATATTCTTACCGAAGCTGTGAATTTATTCGCTTGAAAATTTTCCCCGTGTGGAAATGTGCGATTCGAATCATATATAAGAAGTTGAAAAAGTTCACGAAAGAAATGAAATAACTTAGGAGAGAGAGCGTACTTGAAGCAAGAAGTTCTTCAAAGTTGTCGAAGTATCTGTGTACTCATTAAGACTTTTTAATATGTATTCGAACTCTCTTTTTTCTCTCTCTTTCTCTGGAAATTAAACACTTGACATTATGTACTAAAATCAATAATTTCACTTTGCGAATTCAATACAGTATTTACAATATTTCAATACAGTTTTTCTGTTATATATTATGTAGCATATACAGAAAAAAGCAATATTATTTTTAATATCAACATATAATATATAATCAACTATAAATTACAATAGATTAAAATTTAATTGGCTAAATGATTCGATATATTAAGTGTATATAAAAATGATCATTTATTATATTAATTTTACTTAAATATATATTTATTAATATATATTTATATATTTATTTATCAATTTTATGTAAATATATATATATATATATATATATATATAAAGATTTTAATAATCTGAAAATATAATTTAGATTATATATTTTAATATTTATACAGTATCACACGGGACATGGGTGAATCCAACTGATCTTTGTGACCCTGCTTTATGTGTTGATTTTTATAAAAAGTGTCGCAAGTAAACGTGAGATTTATCTTAAAAAATACCTTACCAAATATTTGAGAAGAATGTCTGTTAAAGATCGTGTATGCAGCAAAAAAATCGATGACACCGTTTTATTCGCTTGTCGAGGAAAGAGCACGCTCCGAAATCGTTTATCGGTTGTCAGTCTCGTCCACGACGAAAATGTCGAAATTGCAATAACGAACTAAAATTGAAAATTGAAAAAAAAACCACGACAAAGTCTAGAAATGTATCAAAATATTAAAACGTTGTACAAGGCAAAAGATCTAGAAAGTAGGTCAATGCCGTAACAAGACAATTAGAAGATGCACCTTGAAAGCGTCATTTCTTCGGAGTAAATTGACAACACGAAACGATTTGCAATTTCATCGCATCAATTGTTCGCGCGATTACATTTCTCTCGTTACCGCCGCGAAGATGTATTTCCCTAGAGAAAGAAACAGGACCTCCCAGAAGCTACTGTCAAAGGAAAATCTCCCCCATAACGAGAAATAATTAAAAAACGTCCTGCTGATAGGGGACAAAAGTAGACCGTGTCAAAGGTTGGGTGTCTTGATCTAGAAAGAGTGCCGCGTTTTTCGCGTTTTTTACCTCAATCTACCGATCTTCTCGTCGTATATGTATGTGTGCGTGTCGCAAAAAGGGAGATGTTTGCCGAAGGAAGGGCGCGCGTTATTTCGGATGACCTACCTGGGATGCATTGACATCTAAATATAGCTCGCACATACGTGTGACCATTGTGGACACTCCAATTATGAAGCTGTATAAAAAACGCTTTTTATCCAGCTACTTTTTTTCTCTCGGTAAAAAACCATCTCTTTTACTTCGCCGCTAAGAAGAGCTGTCCACTTTGATAAGGCGAATAGATCCGAGAGATACTTTCTCGCGCTTCGTAATCCTCCTCCATCGTCGAAGTTGATTAATTCCGAGGACTTGTAACGCTATCTGATGAACTACACTGGGGACGAGTATAATTACTCCAATTTATTTCAGTATATTAATATTAAATGTATCTTTCCCTCCAATTTATTTCAGTATATTAATATTAAATGTATTTTTCCCTCCAATTTATTTCAATATATTAATATTAAATCCAATATATCCAATATATTAATATTTAAATGTATCTTTCCCTCGTATAAAGTGAAAAAGTGAAATAATGTGATGTAAGAGATTATACAAACATTTCTAATCAATAATAATAATTCTAATAATAATAATAATAATAATAATAATAATAATAATAATAATAATAATAATTTCTAATCAAATTTGATAATAAATTGTACAGACTCGAGAAATTGATCAAGTGTGTACGTATGTGTTCCTAAGAATTTAAAAAATTATTCAATATTTTTAGTTATAAAGTATTTTTAACTTGTGTTCTTCTCTCTTAATAAGAAATATAAAAATTATGAAAATTTGTTTTTATATTGCTCTGTTTTCCTCTTTTCATTCAATATTTATACAAGTAGTAAATTTCACGAAATTTTTGAAACGTTTGATCAATTCCATATATATTTATCCTTGTGTCGATAATATCAGAATTAGCACTATATGTCCAAATGTCCAGGATATTTATTATAGAATCGATTTTCTCAATTTTTGAAACGTTTGATCAATTCCGCATATATTTATCCTTGTGTCGATAATATCAGAATTAACACTATATGTCCAAATGTCCAGGATATTTATTATAGAATCGATTTTCTCAATTTTTCATAGACCTCCCATAGAATTTAAACATTCTGTATAGACATCAAACGCTGCTCGGAACGTTAGTTGGCATCCTGCTGATTAAGAAAGGTAGATCCTCTGTCACTACACGGATAAATGGTGTCTTTTATAAACACCGCCGAAAGAAAGAAGAAGCGAAAAAAAGAACAAGGAAAAAGAGAGGGTGATATAGAGGGAGATATAAAAGGTCTAGCATCCCTCGCCTATACCTGATGCGATCCGATGCTCGACTTTCCGAATCTGTTTCTAGAAGAGGATCGTATACGCTTGCACACAGTCGTAGATCCCTTGTGCATCGAGAGCTCAGTCGCCGATGGAACGTCAGCCACTGCACTTCCTGTATGTCTGGCTTTCAAGTTGTCAGATATGTTTTTTTCAAAAATGTTTTTATTGAATGACTACGTCTCGGACGAAATCGTATGCAGATAATTTTTTTTTACTAGTGTCATTATTTAAACAAAATATTTTTTCTGTTTCGAGATATGAAATTATTACAAGTGGATTTTCAAATTTATATTGTCATCAGGAGATTGTTCGCGGGAAATTCTCTTTTTTCGCAAACAATTCAATCACATGTTCGTTGTTATCAAAACCATTGAATTTTAGGACAGTTTGAGATTTGATTTATATCAAAATGATTTGCACGTTAATGTGACACGAGTCATGAAGACGATACAGTAGAAAGTGACACCGGTGAGTGTAAGATGCGGCTTTACGTGCGGGAGATTACGCTCGCAGACAAGAAAGGATAAAGGATTGGCACGAGAGGAAATCACTCGTCTGTGACAAATATCCTTTATGATGTGGTGCGTGATTCCGATTAAACTGACTCAGACGATTACACTCATCCGTCCATTGTGACACATAATTGCTTTTCTAAAAAATTATATTTATCATCGCAATATTTTTATTTATATAATTTAGAAATATTTAGTCATCTTAATTTATTGTTAGACACACTGCAGAATTATGAGACATGATGTACATTCTACTAAAAATTTTTCACAAAGATTTTTAAAATATCGAATATTTATCGATAGGAGTTTCAAGGGATTCGTAATTTTTAAATAATTCATATTTTCATAAATTTAAACACATAAAAGATTTTTGGCTAATCAAACTTAAGGAGAAAAAGTATATTTTTCAAATAATTTCAAGAGTATTTATATTTTAAATTTTATATTTTAATTTAGAACTTAAGAAATATATATAATATCTAATTTTGAAAATTAAGGTAATAAAATGTGTGAATATATAATTTTTTTCAATTTTTTTCATCTTCATTAGGAAAATTTTAACTAACAAAGTTTATTTAAAAGAATATTCTAAAAAATTGAAACAACATATATGTATGTAGAATTACTTGGAATTTAATCTTAATTTCAACATATCTTTTCACAGATAAACTAGGTATATATAACTCTTAGGTATTACTTCATAACTTTTTTAAATATCACTTCTATAACTTTTAGATATCATTACAATTAAACAGTTCATGGAACGTTATATATAATAATTCATTAACACAGTACCTCATTAGAATTGCGATATTAATAGCAGTTACGCCTGTAGCGTAGATTATTAAAATATCTACACAATAATAGTTAATACAATGAAAATACTTCCCTCGCATAGAACTAACAACCGTGAGGTGTGCAATTAACATCATTAAATATTTCCTCGCGGCCTATTATAAACAAGTAAATTCGCGCACAATTCTACTATATTAATTGCACCAAAACACTGCACCGCAGGAGGATAATCGTATTACGGGAAATATATTTATACATTTAGCGCGAGAACGACGTAATTCGTACACTTGTTGGCGCGGAAGACAACGTCCCGACTTCGCGGGAAATAAAATTGCCGCGTTGCTAATTTCGCGAAAAAAAGAAACGCTAACGCAACTCCATTCGTAAAACGTTTGCGAAATATTTTTGCCGGTTTCCTCTTTCGCATACGCCGTAAACGCGCTTCCGCTGCTCAGTTTCGGATAGTCACTTTGTCAGCCACGGTCGCGCATGCATTCCCGTTGCACGTTCGTGATTTATCGATTTCATCTTCGTTGTGTCTTCTATGTGCAGTGAGAAACGACGTTGAATCTTTATGCAAGTCGCTTTGTCTCGCGACGCAAGAATATGAGTGCTTCGCGAAGCTGTCTCCTGTCAATTTTTGCCGGGGACCATCGGTCGGTTTCGAATAAAGCTTTGTAAAAAAAGAATAGATAAAATGAGATGGATCGGAGGGAATTTATTTCTATGAAATCGAACATCTAAATCGAAATCGAATGTTTCTTTTTTGTACAATGTAAAAACCTATACGTCCTTTTATCGCTTCTTCTACTTTTTCTATGCCGGATGAGAAAGATACTTCAACTCTACATTCAGAATCGAGTCTATAATTCATCGAGTATAATTTAATTCCGTTTTAATATCAAATGTTCCGCATTTTTAATTCATTATGTATAAGAAATTCGTTCTTTTTTAACTCCCGACTCTCATGAGTATTAAAACGAATCGCAGAGTTAGACAAGAATGAATACGAACTCGATAATTCCAAAGCCAATATCAGAAATGGAAGATCGGATATCTCTTGCTGTGAAAGCTGAATTTCCGCCGATTTTTCTCATTTGACTAATTTTGTTGAAAAATGAGTAAAACCGAGATGAAATTCTGTTTGCAGCCGACAGTGGTCCGGCGACGAAGAGGATGATGCGACGAGAAGAAGCCACGTGACGACCGAGCATCCCTTGACTGAAGCGACGATTCCTCTGGTCAGCCATTCCAGGCTGCAGGAGCCGTCTTCCGTCCTGAATGTTGCCAATGTGCCCACCGGCGGAAGTCAAAATACTGCGCATCGCGCGCAGAGCCAGCAAGAGAGCGTGTTGCAGAAATTCCGAAAGAGCTTCTCATTGAGGTTCCACAAGAAGGGCAGTAAGGAGAGCAACGAGGAATGTCCCGCGGAGGACAATGATGGCTCGGGGCCCTTGGACGAGGAGGAGGGCACGGAGACTCCTCCCGTAACCTCCTCCGAGCAAAGCAACCAGCACAAAGACGACTCTAGCAATGACCAGAAATTCCGGTTCGTAGCGCGTCCCTCGCTCTCTTTAACACCTCGGGCATGATTTTAAATTTAGATCTGAGGATATCGCGTTGTTAAAGAAGCGCGGATAATTTCCGGCAGGTGAAAGAAATTCTTCATTCGAGCTTTGCTTCGAGCATAGAAAGAGATGATCTCAATGCAGCTTAATACAAGATTATCATTAAAAAAACAAAGAGATCATATTCACATTACTTTTAATGAAATCAATCTTTCGTGGAACACGCGTTTTCTTTTATATATTTTTTTATCTTTCTTAACTTATCTTTTTTTGTATAATTCTTAGCTTATCTTTATTACCAACACCTGCCAATTTTAATTTTAAGAATTAATTAAATGACAGATAGGAATTTATAAATTATAATATCTACTTTAATATCATTTTTGTATGTATCTGATATTATATTAATTTAATATCGATATTTTATGTATGTAATATAGAAAGAACATTTTTATTCTCAGAACCCTCAGAATATTTAATGAGATTAAGTCAATTTTATTCAATTTCGATTATGTAAAAATAAATAATTAAATTTATTTCGAATATGTAAGAATAAATAATTAAATTGAGTTACACGTGTTTGATATAACGATACGAGAAGTACAGTAATAATATTCGTCTTGAGGAGAGAAGTTTGACTAGAACTTGACCGAATATATTTAGGTTCGGCCCACTCGTCTGGAGGAGTAGCAAAGAAAGGAAAAAAGGCAACAAGGCCGCTCGAAATGCAAAGTGTAACAGTGGAGACAGCGGTATACAAATCGAGGTGAGAAGACAGACACGATTTCTTACATTTCTTCAAATAAAAGCTCAAAAGCTCAACAAATATTCGAACGGCATCTCATAACATTTGAGAGATTAAAACAGTTTTTGATGCGAAGAAAATATCTCAGACATTTAAAGAGACATCTTCATCTTTCAAATGTCCTTTAAATATCTTTCGAACAATTTAAACGATATCTTTCGTGCTGTTCGAAACTTTCCCAACGAGAAAAATGCTAACGTATGAAAGGAATAAATATCGCAAACGTCTCGCACAAATGATGTAGATGGTATCTGGTGGAGCGTTGACTGGTGGCAGTGGCGGTGGAATAATGGAGGGTGGTGACAGCTCCGAGTCGCACGATACGGACGATGTTCCCGACGACACCGACAGCCCTCCGGCCCTTCGCAGGCGAGTCGCCGATAAATCGCGGCCCCAGTCCGAGCTCATCAACCAGATACTGATTGACAAGTTCAAGGTAAGCTTTGTTCTTTTCTTTATCTCACGGTAGCTAACACAACTTAACGGTTTATCGCAGCTTTACAAGGAAATGCTCCAGCTCGTGCAAACGTCATTCATGATATATTAATTCCATGTAATGTAAAATTAATTAATGCAAATTGGTTTATAATATTGATTAAATGAATGAAATTTAATATTATTGCCTTCAGTTTTTCTTTATTTCGAGGTCAGAACTAGAAGAGCAATAAATCGTAAGACACAATCAATTCTTTGAAAATGTTTAGCATAATTTTTTTTAATTAATCTCTCGTCGGCTGCGATGGCAACTAGGTTACTTTATTTTTGTATTTTAAGTATGTTTCTTCTCGCATACAAACGATGATTTACATTAATTATTAATTATAATAACATGATAATCACACGGCGTTTATCGGATTTATGGTTGTAACTGTTTCCTCTGTATGGCATTAGTCATCTTGTATACAGTTTGACCACGCTCGTAAAAAGATTCGCTCGTGCTATTCTGTGATAGCTGTTCTGTGATAACTGTTTCTTATCACGAGCGCCAGGATACCAAGGAGGAAACGCGCTCATCGTTAGTTGATATAGAACTCGCAGTCATTAATGTAATTCCTGATGTCGTTATGTTTGATCTGAGCAATTTGCTTCGTTTTGTGCGTGTTCAAATATTGCTTTATGTATTATTAATTAAAAATTCATTATTTTTAAAGATATTAAACTTGAAGAATGGTATTTGCAATTAATTATGGAATTAAAAAAATAAAACAGAATCTAGATATAAATAATAAAAATTAAAAATCGATTTTAGGAAAAGTAAAATTTTAATCCAACACAAAAAGAGAAAGAAAGAGAGACTCACGTGACTTGGAAGAATTAAATAAAAACCAGTGCGCTTGTGATATATACATGAAGTGACATGTATCAAAACTTTTAGGAGAGCAATTGCTTTTTATTTTGTACTTTGCTGATAATGCTGCTTTGATAATTCGCGAAATATTGTAGAAAGAAAAAGAAACTCGCTTAGTCTACGCGTTCCACTTCGGAGCGACAAGTTAATCAGCTAACGCATGATTCGCAATCTCTAATGGAATCTGCATGATTGTTTCAGGCGGATCTGCAGAGTCGTGCATCGCGACACAATCATGTGCGACGTACGAACAGTGACTTAGGAGGCCAAAGGCTGCTCCAATGGGACACCAGGTCGGGATACGTTCACAATTATCGTCGGATGCTGTCGACTCCGTCGCCGATCAAGACGAGGCCACCCAGGCTCAGCCCGAGGCATTCCTCCCATGATATCGTTACGCTTAGAAGGTGCGTTCAATTACCGCAAATGCGTTTAATGTTCAAGCAACCCTTGTCGCGTACGCCTCATTAAATCATCGCCATCTGCGAACTACTTACGGCCCCTTATGACGGCTGAAGGAAACCCAAGATAATCGTTGCGCTTGAACCTTCTCGAGACATTTTTGTTAGTATCTCACTTGAAAATTTCTAATAAGGAAAACACAAATTTGATGTAAGAAATTTGATAAAGGAAGTATTCTTGAAGTAATTTTCACTAATGAGACTAAATAATTAATCGAATTCTATTAGCAAAAAAAGAATTAGGAATTTTTCTTATTATTTTTGAAACTTTATATATTAAAATTTTTTAAATTTATTTTTAATTTATTCTATAAAAAATTGCAAGATTGTCTAACCGAAATTATAATGGAAAAAAGTTCTTGTCCATATAGGACTTACGATGTTATTGTTTTAGACTTTTCATTCTTTTCAAATATTTTAAATTAAAGTCTTTAAAAATCTATATATATTTTATACGTGCAATTATTATATTCAATGGAAAAACAATTTAATCTTAATATGTTGTTGTTTATTGCAATCATGCTTCATCTTTCTTAGTATTTTTCTCTTGTATTTTTATTATTGTTTCTTGTTTTTTTTTAAATTTATTTTTTATATAATGTTTTCTATTCACGTGCATCTATTGATGTTTTTTAAACTATAATTTTTGTCAGCTGTATTAAAGGAATTTCTTTCCCGTTTATAAATAAATATATAAATAGAGATGAATAAATTTGAAAGCTCGAGATCCAACGTGCAACATTTTCTTAGGTTTCTAGAATAAAGACAAGCATAAGCTATCACTGCAAGTGTGAAGAGCTAGCAGTGTCGCAATAAAGAGGCAATAAAAGAAAAAAAAAAGAAAATAATAAAGAGACATCAAACGCTTATTAACTTCGCTCTTTTTAGCCGCACGGCCGAACCTTTTTAGCCTGACGCGCTCGCTGCTTTTTTTTATTTTCGAATCAGTAATAATTTTGACTTCTTCTCACAAACGCGACACTTATATTGTAATTCACATCTCGAACCAACAAACCCCTGAAAAGTAACTGACAACTTGGGAAAAACTGAAACTCTTTGTTCTCGAACCTTTCCAGTAAATCGAGGGAAACTAGTGGTAGGTAGATGGGTATTATAACAAACCACCTTCTCTCTTAATCTTTCCTCCAGTAAAAAGTTGATCTGCCACGCGTAACATACGTATATATATACCCTGTCATGTTGTACTATATATATATATATATATATATATATATATATATATATATACATATACACATATATCTATATACATATTATACCTACCTACTGTAATTTGTTGCTGAATGTTGTACCGATATGCTTAATACCTGAATACACGCTTTTGTTAATCCTTTCGTTCGACGCCGCACGTTAACGCGGTAATAAAAGCGAATTAATATCGAATTAATGTTTTCTTCTTTTCCTTCGCTCCAGTAACGCGAAAGGGAGGAGTTCTCGGACAAATCTGAGACGTTCGCTTAGTCAGCCACTGGGAATCAATCAGCTTTCGCCTCTAATGCGCACCAAAACTGCAGGTGAGTGTGCTATCGTATTATTATACTATTCTCTTAACTCAAAGATAGACTTTGAAACGTAGATCACGTTCCTTTTATTTTGCCTACCAAGCACATGCGTAAACCGTTCTCTTATCGCATTTGGAGAAGACGAGGTTGCACGTTCAATAGTTGTTAAGAGATATCATATACTCGCAAAAAAATATTTGTCTCTTTGTAAATTAATTCGTCAAAAAGATCTTTAGATTGTTAATCAATTTAATGAACATAATGTAACGTTTGAAAAAAATAAAATAGAAATTTTTAAATAATGATAGGAAAGAGCAAAATAATTTTTCATCAATTATTTATATTTTTTATCTCAGGAAAGCAATTGATTTAGAAATCACTGCAAGATCAATGTTAAGACACATTTGCTGGGTAGACAGATTTAACACGCCAGTAGAAAACCTTTTAATGACGTCTAGTGCACAGTGTACTACAGAGATCTCCGATTTCTCTCTAGACATCACCTTGAAGAGTATTCAGAGCATGCATCCCCCGTAAAGACGTTGTTCAGATATTCACACTGTGTTGTCGTCGAATGCACCCTCGTAAGAAAAAAAAAAGAAAGAACTGCGAGAATAAGAAATAGAAATACCTCCATATAATTATCGTGATGATTTCCGTGCCCTTGTGAAAACGTTGCTTCGTGTGGAATCGCTTCTGTTTTACAAGTAGTAAAGAATGGGTTTGCCGGAGAAAACCTCATAAGTGCACCATCCTGCATTCTCGCTTTTAAAAGAGGCGTAGCCTCTCATGGGTGCAATCAATTCACGCGTATTCACGGTTAATTGAATTTTTAAGAGGTACTCCGGCGAACTCTGTTATCTATCTCTCGAGAAATCTCATGAAAACTGTTTCATTCTTTTTCCGCTCACCAAAACGCTGCACGGTGGACGGTTTTTGGCCGGAGATCACGTGCTTGTTGTCACAATAACTTCCAGAAGGATGCTGACAAGCGAAAATCCAGCGGAATATCATTTACGTTACAGGATATTTTCTGCGCTGTGTATTAATGATTGATTTACTGATTGTGACTCTAATAGATAAAATTTTTATAAAAGGATTTAAAAAAAAGGAAAGATATTCCTTTGAAAAAGCTGAATTTTTGACATCTGTCATTTTAAGAAGAAAATTTTGAGATATACATTTTTCAGAAAACGTAGCAAAATCACGTATATCAATTATTATTTTTCATTTTATTTGTATTCAAGTATTTTCTTTACTTGTATTTATTTAAAAATCGGATCACACAACACTCGATTGACGACTGTCACGATGTATATCGCACTAAGGCTGATAGACTTGTATATTTTTTCTTTGTATTTTTTTCTTGATTACAACGAAATATTTTATTTCCAAAAAAATAGGCGTGAGATTACCCGGTGGCAACGTATTATCCGAGGACGAGCAGGATGGAAGAGCCGGCACATCTGACGACGAGATGATGTCCGACTCCGAATCCTCAATCGCTTCCTTGACAGATAAGAAGAAATCATTCGAGCAGACGATGGATGAAGAGATTGTCATCTTGGCCGAGGCTGTTTGGGACCATGTGGCGATGGAGCCGGAGGAGTTAGCTTTTCGTGCCGGGGATGTTATCGACGTCCTTGACACATTGGACAAAGATTGGTGGTGGGGCAGTTGCAGAGGGGAGCATGGGTGGTTTCCGGCCGCTTTTGTCAGGGTGAATATTTTCGAATGAGAATTTGTTTGATTTTAAATCAATTATGCACCCATCTTTTATTTCTAGAGTAATCCTAAAAGTTAGTAAAATATTAAAAATTACCTATTTCCATTTCTTCTACTTGATATATAAAATTTATTCCTGTCTGGCATATTAATTTAATTTTTTTGATTGATTAAATAATATTATTAATAATTAAGGATTTTAGCTAAAATAAATGTCTGCAGCTGCGAGTGAGCCAAGAGGATACAGTGGAAGATTGTTTGGCCGCGATAGCTTCAGGGGGATCCTCGGGCACTCAGCTGAGAAGACGAACGAGCGTTTCCTTGCTCTCGAATGAACAAGTGAGAACCAGCGTAGTCCGCGAGCTCGTCCAAACCGAGCGCGATTTCGTCAAGATCCTGCGCGATGTAGCCGAAGGCTATATCGCGGAATGTCGCAGGCGCACGGACATGTTTACCGAAGAGCAGATTGAAACGATTTTCATCAACCTCGAGGAGCTGTTGGACTTTCAATCTGAATTCCTGAAGGATCTTGAAGCTTGTATCGACTGGAACGCGCCGCACAAAAGCTGCGTCGGCGAATGCTTCCTCAATCATGTCAGTAGCATTATCGAATTAATTTGTTCGTGCTTCTTTTCCTTCACTAATAATTCTGTACTTGTCGATGAGATCGATATGTTTTCAAGTTCTTGCATTTTGACTTTCTGAAAAACTAGGTAAAAGAGTGTTCGAAGTAACTTTTTATGACTTTACATATATTTTGAATTATTTAAATAAAATTAAAGAATGTGACACGAGCATATGATTCTTTTAGAGAGCGGGCTTTCGCATGTATTCCGAATACTGCAACAGTCATCCAATGGCCACAGCGACGCTACAGGAGCTCTACCAGCACAATCGTTACAGCAAATTCTTCGAAGCTTGTCGTCTAATGCGGGGCCTCATAGAGATTCCCTTGGACGGATATCTATTGACGCCAGTCCAACGAATATGCAAGTACCCCCTTCAATTGGCGGAGCTACTGAAGTATACGAAAACCGATCATCCAGATTATCACAAGATTCAGGAGGCCTTGGAAGCAATGAGAGGCGTTGCGGTACTGATCAACGAGAGAAAAAGGCGGATGGAGAGTTTGGAGAAGTTGGCCGCGTGGCAAATGCGCGTAGAAGGTTGGGAGGTGCGTTACTCCTCGAGATTGTAGAGATAAAACTATCTTTGAAATTCGCCTGCGTTTCGGATCATCTCGGTAACGTTAATAAGTGCGAGTCTCTTGTTAAAGAAATTATTAAAATATACGTTTAATATCGATGATAATCGATCACAGGGCGAAGATCTCATAGAAGTTTCGTCGCAACTGATTTATCAAGGTGAGGCGATGAGAGTGAAGACCGGCATGTGGACGAACAATATCACGCTATTCCTCTTTGATCATCAACTGGTCTATTGCAAGAAAGACATTCTTAAGCGCAATACTTATGTCTACAAAGGTCGCATCTATCTTGACACTAGCGAGGTCATCGACGTACCCGATGGGAAGGGTAACTATTAATGTGACATTTCATTTTAATTACTGAAAAATATGTCTTTCTCTTACAATACAATAAAAACGAGAATAAATTGATGTAGAAAATTCTATTTTATATTTTAGCAAATGCCGTTAAATCAATAAGTAATTGAGAATATAAGAATTGATATACTATATTGCGATTTGTAAATGAAAATAAAACTCAATTTTATTCGTAGATCTTCAATCGGGGGTAACAGTAAGGCACTGTTTGAAAATATATAGTTGCGTCCGGGACAAGTGGTTGCTTTTTTGTTGCCGCACAGCGGAAGAGAAACGACGGTGGCTGTCGGCGATGGCCGAGGAACGAAGATTGGTAGCTCAGGACAGAAACGACGGATTAGAGTTTCCAGCAGCGGCCAGACAGCTTGCCAGGCTAGCTGCTAACAGGCAGCAAAATAGACCACCGATCAAACCTCGTAGTAAGTTTACATATGTGCATTTATCGTGTATCTATCCGATTAATTCATAAAAAAAGAATCTGATCCTAAACTATTTCTTTTATTATTATATTAACTTTTATTTTTATATTGAATTTCTATCATTGCAGATAAAACATACAAGAGGGAATCAACGTACGAGATGCCGACTATGATCACACAAGGTACTACCAACTCGCTAGGAAGGAAAGTCGGTACTTGGTTTACGTTTGGTAGCAGCAAAAAAAGCACGCGGCTTCAACCGTCCTGAGACAGGCCTACCTTCGTACCGTATATTGACCTATAAATCTGCAATTAACGGCGCTGTATCGTCCTGTCAGAATTTTGGTGTGAGATATCTCTCAATATTGATTGCTTAGAAATCTCTTTGAATAATCGTTTAAAAAGATCATTATTATCAATTGATATTTTGTCAATTAATACTGTTCATTTCACGATAGATTGAATCATACTATTTTTCATGAGTCGATGAACGATCTACTTTGATCGCTAGAGTTTCGTAGCATCAAGGACAAACAGCGTCTCGTCAAATGTACGGCACGGAGGTATTTAGATAACTCAAAAGTGAAAATTTTATCCTACAAAATACACTTTTCTCTTAAAGTAGGAAAAACAATCGCCATCGATTCCATACTTATAGCCTGTAAAGAACGGTGCAGCGATTCAAAAACACGAAAAACTTCAACGATCTTTCATTCACTGCCTCTCTCATGAAAGCAGGTGCTTCTCTACCAAACAGATAGTGTCATTGTCCAAATTAAATACTTGCAGGTGCATATACGATAAATGAATAAAAATCGCTCATTATGTCTATAATCTGAATCAGGAATGTCTTTCGTGACGCTTTGAATCAGTAGTTCTTTAACTGCTTCAGATCTGAAATCAATGTTCGATCATCTTTGTTATGATTTTGTTTTCATTATTGACTTCGTGACGTTGTCAATGTGCAGTTCAAGAACTACTACTACTATTTAGAAAGATGTTTCCGAGATGAAAAAAAAAACGTTGTTACAAACTGAGAGGGAGCTGTATAATCGATTTTGTAGATGCTTGACATTAGAAACTATCATTAATAATAGAGAACATGCGGATAGATTAGAGAGCTAGAAAAGTAAATAGTGAGTGTATAAAGTCAATAGCGGGCTTTTAAGGTACTAAAGAGAAAGTACTAGTCACTCTTCACAACGCGGATTGATGATGAACCGTAATAGATATGTATTGTTACACGCGCAATCGCTTTTTGAATCGAGCAGCTATGGATGGTATGTATCAAACGGCTGTATTTTTTATTATAATCGAAAGACTGACGACCGAAATGCTTCCTCGGGAGGAAACCGGTTGTAACCTTGAGAGAGAAATGCGACGGGATCGATTAAGAAATTTTTAAGTTTAATTCTCGTCACGTGAATTTTGTTAATTAAATCATTTGATTATTTCGAGAGTGTTGTCGATGAATTTTATGTAAAAAAGATGCAGTGAGAAAACTCATTGTTTGTAATATGATATGCAATTCTGCGCAAGTGTTAGCAAGTTTAATCAGGAAATCCGTGTTGATTAGTTTCGTAATAAATTTTGATCGGCCGATTCCGCACACCACTTTTCTCTCAACGAAAATGTAGATATATTTCTTAGAAGAAATCTCCAGCGAGCTATACAAGGTAACTTACTGCCTAACTAATGTTCGTTATTTCGCATTATAATTAATAATACTCATAATAGTTTGTATGGAATTGCGATCGGCGGGGATAAATAGAAGAGAGACAGCATGAAACAAGAGCAAAGAAAAGAAAAAAAATTTTGTTTCCGCGAAACACAGCAACAGTATTATACAGAATACAGAAAATGTGATTAGATTCAAAAAATATGTAAATACTCGCATATCATTCATATTCGACTGCGATATGAAGCGACAAGCTTCTAAAAAAGCAAGAAAAAGAGGGGGAAAAAGATGATCGAGAGAAGATCAAGTTTTTCTACTCTTGTACAGAAAAGAGAATCAGTTAGCCCAATAGAAGAATCTATGTTATAATGATATGCATATATCTATGCAGTCCTTTGGCAAAATGTTCGATCTATCTACAATTTCAACAATTTAATCACGGATCCTGAAAGTTTCTAACACTGCCAATAAGTTTAAAGAAATACGTCTTCGTTCGTTAGAATTATTTGACCTGATCTTTAATAAAATAAGATCGGTCACTCCAGATTTTTTCTATCTGAAGAGACGAAAGCTCGATATTTTGTCCTTTTGACGTTTGTATGCGGATGTATGGCACAATTCTGAGCGAGAGGAGATATTTATTGTTTTGTATAACACGCAGAAAGATATATTTTTACTTATTTCGAGACAGCGCGTAATTTACTATATACGACGAGGACAATATAATGATAAAATGAATGGATCAAGATTCCTACTGTACAGAGAGATCATTAGCCTGTTGATGTTTAGATTTAGGAGAGACGCAATTTGTTGCTGGACCCAACTCATTTCAGAGTTATTTTTATAGGAAAAACTACTCATTGGTTCTTGAATGTGATTTTTCTTATAAGTATTGCTGTTATACACATGGACTGCTTTAATAATGGCCAATGTAAGTATAAGGAACAGATGTAACTCATTATAGGAAGGATAAGATAGCGAGGATATCCCGAACAACATGAAAGTCTACGAAAGATATTTCTTGGATGTTCAAGAAACGTCTTTTGTATGATTTTGCAGGCATCTTTCAGTGATGTTTGTGTTGTCTTCGGGTGCGAAATCGAGTAATGCACGATTAAGCACAACTTTCCACATTCATGAGAAGTATATTTGCGATTTTACGATAAACAAGTAATCGAAATACATGAAAGTTCGGACCTCGCATTCACAAGCTCCCACATATTGGCAAGTGAATTACATATCTTACATGATTGATTAATTTATACTTTGGAGGATACTGTCTATTACAGCTAGAAATTATTACTTCTGCAAATCGTCAGGCAGCATAAAACTTGAGGAAATGCGCTTTGAAGCAATAAGTATTGTATTAAGCGTTATTATTATGATAATTTAAACTGTTATGTACATGACGCGTTTATATAAACGTATATTTTTTCTGAGATTTGATATCGTAACCATACATATACATACTCTGATGACGAGAAATGGAATTCAGTTTTTTTTTTGTAGCGAGATCTCTAACTATACTAATAAATCTATAAGAGGAAAGGCACAGAGATATCGTATGTATCGTTCTGTTTTCTGTACATATATATAGATGTATTTTGTAAGTGTAAATAACATAGATCTATTGATTAGAAAAACCAACTTTAACGCGTTTTTTGTAGCAATTAAGTGAACTATTAATAATATTAAGCAATATATCTGACGTTCGCGTATGATTAATTGTTGATTCAACCGATGATATCGTTTTGTATATTTGTATATCTCTCTAATTTAACGATTTCGCTGATGAATTATCATGCGAGATCAATTGTTCATTATTGTTTATGTACAGTAGAACATTATATGATATGATTGTCATTATTTTACAATTATGAATATATATATATATATATATATATATATATATATATATATATATCCCAAGCTACACATATATATGTAAATAAACATTTTGTAACTATCATACTTTATTCATGATTTCTTTCTTTTTATTTGTTTATATAATGTGATAAAAAAAGATATATTTATACTGACATAAGATAATGCAATAAAAGGATTTTGCTTTGTCCAATGCTAATCCTAATCTAAGTACCCAGGACAAATGTATTACCCTGCTTTGAAATTTGCACTTTTAATTTTGAATTTTCATCTCTCAATTGACTTACGACTTGTCGAAGAGTCTTAGCTTCTTCTATCAACTGTGCGTTTTCATCCATACTCTGGGAAAGTTTTTCCTGAGCTTCCCTTAATTCTGTAATGTATTCACAAGCTCGTGCTAGTATACCTCCTTTGCTCTATAAACAAATCATCATTATAGAAAATAATAGAAAACTTATTTTTATGAAATTGTTGATACATTAATTTAAGAGTTTGCAAATATATACTTGTGGTTCAAAATTCCCTTTTGCATCTCCCTCTTTATTCACATTTTGATCGCATTCTGCCAAGAGTTTCCCTAACTTAGTAATCCAATTGTTAATTTTATCTCTTCTACGTCTCTCAACTTCATTGTGTGTTGCTCTTCGCCTTTCATCTCTCTATAAATATAATATATAGTAATTTAATTAATTTTCTAAATAGAAAAATAATATAAAATGCAATACAATAGAAAAAAAATTTACTTTTTTTACATTTGTAATAATATTCTGTGACCCTTCTAACTGTAATTTGGTTACACGTGGTGCAACTGTTCTTGCAGACTCTGATGTCGCAACATCATTGCCATTACTGAGTACATAGAATTGTCCATTTAACGACGATGCTAAAACCTGTACTGTATTGTTTACAGGAGTGGCTATAGAAACCTCATTGTTTTCTCTGTGATTATTGCTGACTTGCATAACTTTATAAGCTACTGTATTGTCACCTCTGTTTATTGCATATAAATGATACTGTACATTATCATCATCAGCCTCTACCTCAGCATCACAATCCACTATTTCTGCTTCTTCCAAAACTACACCAATAGTTTCGTCGTTCATTGTATTTTCATCTGCACTGTAACATAAATATTTTGTTTTAAATCAAAGAGAAGAGAGAGGGAAAATTATAATTTGTAACAAAAATAATAAATTTGTAACAAACATAAATTTTGTTTGAGAGAATATATATATATATTTATATACACCTTTGTGTATACAGAATATATAAGTATATATACACTTACCTCCCATCGATGGTATCGATGTGATTAACAACTTCCATCTCAATAAAAAGCAATAAACATTTTTATGATCATTAACTTTATATATAAACGACACACCTTTGATATATTAAAAGGTGTATATAAACGATTATAGACGATTTTATGGATGAAATTTTATGAGACCAATAATTCCCTGGGAACACTTGCACTGGTCGACACAATGTGAAAAATTACACTAGTGTTCTCACAAGAAATATTGCGACTGAAGTCTGGAGTTAATGTGTTTTTTCGCGAATAACGATTAGATTAGGAATGACATATCTATTTACAACACAGAGAAGAATGAAAGATTCATGGCCCGCTTTTAGATGATGAATCTTTCAAAGCGATACGCCTTCTGTAGACGTTAACAACTATGGACATGAACTATAAAGCCAGTGTCCACGAAGTGTGACGTGTTTTCGGAGGGTAACATATGATGTGCACAATTTCTGGTTCTGTTCCGTACTATGTTGCTCTCTCAGAAAAGATTTCTGTTAACGAGACAAAAATATTCTTAACATGTTTAAAATGTTTTACAATCTTATGCAGTGTAAAAATAAAACAATTTTAAAATAAAAACAATTCTTATTTTTATTCTTTTTTCTCAAATTAAATAAGATTGTCTTTATAATCTGGAAACAAGAATAACATAAAGAAATCTAAGCTTATACATTCTTGCAGTCTTAAAATAATTGGATATTAGCATCAGTGGTTGCGCGAAACTGATATGCGCTTCCATAGACTTAAGAATTTTTTATTTAAGATTAAAATATTTTCTTTTTAATAAAAAATATGATTGTCGCTATTAATAAAAAATATGATATCGCCAATTTTATGATAAATTGAAATGTAATAGCATTAGATGGAAATATTTTCTGTGGGTGTGTTCATCTGAGATATTTGCACTATATTTAGAGATATGAAAAAAAATATATACATATATACATATATATAATAAATGTAATAAATTAAATATAGGAAAATAAAACTATAGACTTAATTACTAGATTTAACAAGTATATGTATATGTATTTAACAAGTATATGTATTGAGTAATAAAATAATATTTCGTATGAAAAAAACAAAAGATTTATTTTATCTCATTTGGTTTTTATCAAAATTGTAGCTTCTATACTGATTAAATAAAATTTTAACGTTAAATGACATTTTCTGAGATACGTTTTATTTACTAAATTTTAAAATAGAAACTGTCAAATACAAATAATGATCTTGAAAAAAACTATAAGTATTCAAAAATAAGTTAAAGTGTGATGCATATGTTAACGATATCGTTTAAAAGAGATTTAAATTTTAAATTAAAAATATTATTTTTATATTTAAATATCATAATTAATCATACGTATATTTACATAAATTAGTATAAACATTTTAATGCATATATATGTATGTGTACATAAATGTAAATTTAACAACGATTTAAGGCTTCAAAGTTACAATTATTAAAATATTAAATTTTAAGATCATTTAATTAAATAAATCCGAATGATTGTGCAAACAATTCTCAAGGGCCCGAAGATTAGTGTAAAGATGAATCATCTGAAGGCTTTTTTTTACCCGCCGAATCTGACCGATGTAATTTGCATAACATATATTTTTCTCTTCGCAAGAAACAAATTAAATTAATACATTAGTCTATAATTTATTATATTAATTAACTATATATAAGTGAATCAAATTAAATAAATTTAATAAATATTAAATTTAAAATGTTTTATTAATTATTAGAATACAGAATTTAAATATTTGTATTTCATTAATTACCGATATTGATGTCAAGTTCTTGACAAGCTCGAAACGTATTCTGAAATATTAGGAAATTATTAGGCGAATATAATCATGTTGGAGGTAGCACAACTAGCACCTAACTAAATTATCGACCGTTGAAAGTTTACCTAACTAAATTATCGACCGTTGAAAGTTACCTTTACCTTTAGCGGTAGTCTGCTGCATTGTCGACGGTCGGTCTTTTTCTGTTAGTCTTAGCTCCTATCCGATCATATTCGCCTAATACTTTCCTAATATTTCAGAATATAAATGGAGCTTGAAAATCATCGACGTTGAGTGAATTGTCGATAATCAGCGATCTATAAATATTGAATTTCTGAAATATTAGTAAAATATCCGACGAATAATATAAAAAGTGGTGACACTAATTACAAAACCAAGAATTGCAAGTATTTTTATTTAAAATTTTAAGTCTAATAATAATTTGTATGACAAAAATATAAATTTGCAAATGTGTTAACTCTAAATATGCAAATAGATTACTCTTGAAAAGAATTCGTAATGACTTTATAAAACACTAGCTATATTTAATACATAATATATAGAAACATTTCTTTTCGAGGGATTGAAATGTCACTAAATGGAGATTTAAAAAAAAATATATTTTTTATCAGATATCTCTCGAAATATCAATTATGAATTTTTTAAATCAAACATATATTGCCATGACGCCATATGCAGTCTACAATCCAGCGACCAGATTATATTCGAAGTTTTAAGTCCAGCTACTATCTATGACAATCGATTGCAGTTGATCGAATCAATTAATTGAACGATTGTATTCCAGCTCGCTTTTTGGATCGACATATATAAATATTTAACCAATTAATCATTGACATATACACTGGACTGAGCATCGCGATAGACAGGCGAGCGCACGCTGTAGAGAGAGAAGTACTACATGGGAGGCCTATGTCTGTCTCTTTTGCTAGTATCTCATTTTGATAATTTTGTTTCCCATCTCGATGGGCAGGAACCAATTAAACAATTAATCGAATAATTGCATTTTGGGTCGCTTTTTTGTTCGGTATGTATATAAATATTTAAATCAATTAATCGTACAACTGCATTCGGCTCACACACCATATTACCCGGCGAGTTATCGCTCGAGAGAGGCAGGCAACATGCTCGACGACGTGCGCGATTTCGATCGTCCGCGCGCAGACGAAAAACGGCCAATTTATATCTGGACTTCCGGGCGCGATAGCGATTTCATTCTTTTTGCATAAAATTCTACACCATTTCGCGGCACTACCGTTTAAAACTCGTCCCGATCGTCTGAGGAGCGGCTGACTTACAGTGAATATCCGAAATTTGCTTCTGCTCTCACACTTAAGTGTAATATTTATATCTAATAAAAAAGCGAGTCGGAATGCAATCAGTCGAATAGTGAATTAAATATTTATATATACCAAACGAAAAGATGAATCGGAATGCATTCGTTCGATTAATTCGTTAAATATTTATATATATACGAATAAAACGAATAAAAAAGCGAGTCGGAATGCAATCAGTCGAATAGTGAATTAAATATTTATATATACCAAACGAAAAGATGAATCGGAATGCATTCGTTCGATTAATTTCTTAAATATTTATATATATAAATATATATATATATATATATATATATATATATATATATATTTATGCATTCCGATTCATCTTTTTGTTTGGTATATATAAATATTTAATTCACTATTCGACTGATTGCATTCCGACTCGCTTTTTTATTCGATATATATAAATATTTAATTAATTAATCGAACGATTGCATTCCGATTCATCTTTTCGTTCGATATATATAAATATTTAATCAATTAATCGAACGATTACATTCGGGTCCGCTTTTCGTTCGGTATATATAAATATTTAACAAATTAATCGAACGATTGCATTCGGCTTGCCATTTTACTCGCCGCGTTACAGTGAATATCGCGCGAGAGAGGCAGGCAACATGCGCGGCGTCGTGCACGATTTCGTCCGCGCGCAAACGAAAAACGGCCAATTTATATCTGGACTTCCGGACGCGATAACGATTTCATTCTTTTTGTATAAAATTCTACACCATTTCGCAGCACTACCGTTTAAATCTCGTCCTGATCGCCCGAGGAGCGGCTGACTTACAGTGAATATCCGAAATCTACTTCTTGGACTCACACTTAAGTGTAATATTTATATATATCGAATAAAAAAGCGAGTCGGAATGCAATCAGTCAAATAATGAATTAAATATTTATATATACCAAACGAAAAGATGAATCGGATTGCATAAATATATATATATATAAATATTTAAGGAATTAATCGAACGAATGCATTCCGATTCATCTTTTCGTTTGGTATATATAAATATTTAATTCACTATTCGACTGATTGCATTCCGACTCGCTTTTTTAATCGTTTTATTCCTATATATATAAATGTTTAACGAATTAATCGAACGAATGCGCGATATTCACTGTAACGCGGCGAATAAAATGGCAAGCCGAATGCAGTCGTTCGATTAATTTGTTAAATATTTATATATACCGAACGAAAAGCGAACCCAAATGTAATCATTCGATTAATTGATTAAATACTTATATATATCGAACGAAAAGATGAATCGGAATGCAATCGTTCGATTAATTAATTAAATATTTATATATATCGAATAAAAAAGCGAGTCGGAATGCAATCAGTCGAATAGTGAATTAAATATTTATATATACCAAACGAAAAGATGAATCGGAATGCATAAATATATATATATATATTTATATATATAAATATTTAAGGAATTAATCGAACGAATGCATTCCGATTCATCTTTTCGTTTGGTATATATAAATATTTAATTCACTATTCGACTGAGTGCATTCCGACTCGCTTTTTTATTCGATATATATAAATATTACACTTAAGTGTGAGAGCGGAAGCAGATTTCGGATATTCACTGTAAGTCAGCCGCTCCTCGGACGATCGGAACGAGATTTAAACGGTAGTGCTGCGATATGGTGTAGAATTTTATGAAAAAGAATGAAATCGCTATCGCGTCCGGAAGTCGAGATATAAATTGGCTGTTTTTCGTCTGCGCGCGGACGGTCGAAATCGCGCATGACGCGCGCATGTTGCCTCCTTCTCTCGAGCGATATTCGCTGGAACACGGCGAATAAAATGGCGATTCAATGCAATCGTTTAATTAATTGGGTGGTTATGTACGTATACAGAAAATAGCGAACCGAATGCAATTGTTCGATTAATTAATTAAATATTTATATATATCGGACGAAAAAGCGATGCGGAATGCAATCTTTTGATTAATTGATTTAATATTTATACATATCGAACGAAAAGCGAACCGGAATCGTTCGATTAATTGATTCGATCTGCAATCGATTGCCGCAGACAATCACTGATCGTGGACTCAAGATTTAGAATGCATATAGCATCAATATATTGATCAATATAGTTCAATAATTTGATTTCTAAAAGATTCATAATAGCACGATATTCCGAGAGATATTTGGTAAAGTAATATATTTTTTAAAAGTCTCCATTTAATGACATTTCAGTCCCCAGAAAAGAAATTTTTTTATATTAAATATAGCAAATATTTTATAAAGACATTGCGAATTCTTTTCAAGAGTTTAATATGTTTTTGAATCTATATTTTTATGTACAAAATTAAGGTACAAAGCTTTAGACTTAAAATTTTTAGAATACTTGCAATTCTTGGATTTTTAATTAATGCCACTCCTTATCTAATTATATTTGTCGGTTACTTTGTTAATATTTCAGAATTTCAATATTTACTATAATATTTATAGTTCGCGGATTACCGCGATTCAATTCACCCGACATTTATGATTTTCAGGCTCCATTTATATTCTGAAATATTAGGAAAGTATTAGGCAAATATGATCAGATAGGAGTTAACACTAACAGAAAATTACCGCTTGTCGATAACGCAGCAAACTAAAGGTAAACTTTCATCGGTCGATAATTTAGGTAGGTAATTTTACTAGCGTAGATAATTTGCTAGTTTGTGCTACCTCCAGCTTGATTATATTCGCCTAATAATTTCCTAATAATTTCAGAATACGTTTCCAGCGAAGAACGTGACATCAATGTCGGCAATTAATGAATCACAAATATTTAAATTTTGAAATATATATATTGCGATAACGAATATAATAATCAATAATATGTATAGTTTAAATTTAATATTTATTAAATATAAAATTTATTTGATTTGATTTATTTGCATATAAATAATTAACTAATATAATTAAGGTAATGATGTGTTGTCTTAAATATGCAAATGAAATATAAAATATCTTAGTAACTATAAGGAACTTGATTTGAAAAGAATGTTAATTACAAATAAATCCTTTACAACATTTAACAAGATCAATGTGATTAAAATATTGTGTATGCTCTTTCCTCTTTTTTTAATAGATTATTGCCTAATTTAATAAACTTTATTTATTAAATTTTAGTTAGAGATATAACATTTATTTCGTTTAGAGATATAACATCTATTTCTAAAAATATTGTTCATTATTTTCTGTTTATAATAAAGGTTCGGAGAAAAATGTACATAGAGAGAGAAACATAAAAAAAATTACGCACACGATATATTATTTCAATATATTGAATTTTATTACAAAATCTTTTTGTTTAGGCTACAACATGTAATATAATAATTGCGTTTAGTCTAGACCCTTATCAAAAGAAAAGCTAAACTGCACCACGTTTACTATTGTCTTAATGAGCCACTCCGCAAATTTATACGCCTCGAGGAAGGACTCATAGGGACAACGAGAAGGAAAACACACGTAAATGCTACAAATCATTCCTATGCATAAAAATTGAAATCCATGCCCGTATTACGGTCCAAAAATTATTCAACTTTCTCATTGTTGTACGATATCATTGTATCGCAAACGTGTGTCTATATATATAAATATATGTATATATATTATTCAAAATATTACAAATTAGGAAATACTTCACTAAATGCACAATGCCACGCGTAAAAATTCTATTTAGGATATCTCTAAATTGGAGTGACGAATATTCCAATACTCCATAAGTAGATATTTCGTGATAAACGCGATATTTATCGATATTTTAAATTACTGAAAAATTCGAGATACAAAGAATGATTTGAAACGCACATATGATCTATAACATTCCTTCGTTACAAACAAAATTTGCGCAAATTTAACAAAGAATTCACTCTTTCCCAATCTTCAGAATAATATTCTTAGTTCTCAGGAAAGCGGGCCATTGGATTTTGCATTGAATTCTTTAAATATTTATAAGTGATTTTTTGTGATTTATAAAATGACATTGGTCGTTCTAGCATCGACAATGTAGATTTGTCATCGAGAAAATTTCGCTGATTATACGATTTCCGATATGCCGGCGCGAATAAAACATGCTTATCTCTATACAAATCAATATCAATGTAAATGAGATCGCGGGACGATCATCCCGCCGATTGCACGCTAAAGAAAAAGGAAGCAGCATAATCGCTATATTGAACATGATACATCTAGTTCTCCTCGATGCGTAATCTAGAATCGGCGGCTCTTAAGACTTGCTGTGTCTAAAGAAGAAGACGAAGTAATTGCGTACATCAATCGCTGACAATCGACATACATCGTAATAGGTGTAAAAATAATAAAATTAGTGATAGTAAACCCCTCTATTACATGTTATACGGCATGTAATTTGTGTATGTGAATGTGTTCTTTCATACGTGTATACGTGTATATAACCGTTCGATCCGGTCGTAAAACGTTCAACATAATAAAGGAAACTCTCCCAAGCAAGCTAATTCTAAGATAATGTAATATCTTTTTCTTGTTTATTCATATAGCTTCTATTTATATTAGGTATGCACGTACGTGTGATAACTAAACAGATACATGATTTTCTTTTCTTCCATCGCATCACACACGTGATTTGCGGCCACTAGCGGCCTCGTCTTAACTTCAAAGAGCAGGAGGCTGTTATGATCATCGCCTTAAGATCAAAAGAAAATTTCGCGAGATGATCAAATATATCTGTTCGAATGTCGATTCTTATCCACTCTGATTTCCTTCCTGTATTCAGAATCGAATCATCGATATATCCATATGTTTATTTGCGCATATTACTAAATTTTTTACTAAATAAAAAAAAATTTCTAATGAATTTCGATTAGATAATTTTTGTTTAAAGTCAGAAAAGATTTAGAAAAAAGATTTGGATTTTTTAGATTAATTTAAAATTAATTAATCTAATTAATAGATTAATTAAACTCCAACACTTGATCAAATCTAATAAATATTTCTGATAGTCGTCTTTGATTCATTGAATTGTGTTAACAAAATTTTATTATCGAAAAAATTCAATTTCGATACTAAATTTTCACATTAAATACATAATCGGATGATTACACAATGTAAATACACTTTTATAAAACATTTAAAAAATGATATGGATATATCAATAATTTTAGAAATGTAGAAAGGAACTCACGATCGAGACAATGAATGTAAAATCGCACACTATAAACACAAATATCTCAGACATTTTAAGTCAAAATCATTATCTTAAGTGTCATCACATAATACATTTTTATATAATCTGCATATATATGTCATTCGTATCTCTTTAATATATAATTTGCTATACATAATATAAAGCTATTTCTTTTCATTTGTTTGAAAATCAGCGCGATATATGTTCTGCGCAAATTTTCAATTAAAAGAACTTGCATGTGCCTGAGTAAATCAAAAAATTATACAGAATTATACAATTAGAAATATAAGTCATTTTAAATATATAAATAATTGCACTGCTTCCACATATATGCAGTGGTACGCCAATTATGCTAATACTAGTTTTGTTAAAGTATATTTTCCTTGCTTTTTGCAAAGAGTATACTTAAAGCAGCCTCCTGCTCTCCAGTATAACTATATTTAATGGTTTCTCAGAATTATATGAAGTAAAATTTGTAAAATACAATATACTGCCTATATCATAAATTCTTAATCTTTTTCTTTATAAATAATTATAGTAATAGTCTTTCACAATCTTTTGTTAATTTATTATACTCAGATGCCATTCTCTTGGATTAAATTTAAATATTACATTTGTGCCCTTTCCGCACTAATTCATTTTTATAGTATATTCTGCATGACTGCATTCCTCTCTCTCTTTCTCTCTGTGTATGTTTATATATAATACATATATAATCCTTCTCTAAACGACTTATATATTATTTACATATGTACATGTTTAACAACGGTACGTCATTCTAGCCATTCGATTTTTCAATTTTCCTTTTTCATCATTATTAAAGGTCAATTTTTCGTCTTCTCCTTCACGGAACATACGATCACACGGATACTCTCTACTCTTGTTTTTAACTTTTTAAGGAATAACTTTGCTCGTGAATTTCCACTGACGGATTACAACAATAAATAATGATGAAAAATGATTCTGGCCAAATCTTTCATTTCGTTATCTCCTAGATAAAACGACCGTTGCATCTCCATTATCTTAGAGTTCTCACGCAATCGCACATCGTCGTATATAAATCCAATTAAACTGAAAGCTAATTACAGAAAAACTTACAACTCTTAAAAAATAGGCTCCGCCCTGTCGTTCTGATTTATCTTTCCGCTCACGCTATACTTGGCCAATCTCGGATTTGTCTTCAGTGACATTTTTTCCGTAAGAAGTGCAAAAACTACACAGAACAACTGTTTGCTTTAGAGGTGTCTCTAGAGGAAGACTCTAGTTCTATGTTTTGCGCGACACACGCACTAGTATCTTCAAAAGTCGAATCTCCTAGAGAATCATATTCGTTTATGTTATCGCTTTTTCCTCTGCGGCAAAAGTTGCGATTTTATCTGGGCATGCTCCCCCTAATGATTCAGGATTGGCCAAGCTCTCATTCATGCTACGAATCGAGATCGTCCTCTCTCTGGCTACTGAAATAAGATACCAGTCCGCCAAATTCGCCGGTGCCCTCTTCATCATACTGCTTATTACCGGCATTGGGGTCGCCTGGATGCGATTGCTGAGGTGGTGGCGGTGCCTGAGGTGGTGGTGGTCCTTGGATCGGAGGCTGGTTATCTGCCGGCGAGGAGAAATGCTCCGAGGGATACGGCGATCCTTGATAGGCGGCTGCATCGTCCGCCGTGGACATCGGCGGAGGTGGTGGATAGGCACCGTAATGGTAATTGGGAGGCGGAGGCGGATGATACGGTGAAAAGTTACCAGGTGGTCGATTGGGGGGTGGGGAAGGTTGTTGCATATTGTGATTAACCGGCGAGGCGTTAGTGAATGGCGGCATTTGATGCCTGGGCCCCATAGGGTTCTCGGCAAACCTAGCCATCGGCGGACCGCCTCGTACATATGGCGGGGGCGGTGGCGTAGGACCTCCTTTAGCTAATGGACTGCCGGCTGATGGTGGAATCATCGCCGGTCCGCCGGTTAAAGGTGAACTGCGATCTCGATTATTGATCGAGATCGGTCCACCGCCCGACGGCGATGGGTCCAGTGGATGGTGCGGCGTGTGATACATCTGCGGTCCGGGTACTCGCATACGCATTGGTGGCGTGCCCGATCTAACTGCAGCGAAATGCGGCGGCATAGACGATTGACCTGCTTGTCTATACGGTGATGGAATCCTGGCGCGTGGCTGCATCTCGTATCCCGTTCGCGGACCGCCCATTATTTGTCCTCCGACATTAGGCCCACCAAAGTACTTGTGGCCCATCGCGGCCGCTGCTGCGGTGAAGGACTGCGGACTGTTGGTTACTGGTTGGGACTGAAGCATCCTTGTAATGACGGAAGACTGTTGGCCGGATGGTAGCGATGGATAAACCGATTGCGAGTTTGACGATTGTGTTGCCGGTGGACCTGGTGTCGGAACGGCACTCGCCGGTGGTGTAGAGGGCGCCGAACCAGATGTACTGCTACCTGGTGTAGGAAGAATATTCGGAATATCGTTTTGTTTCATTTCCGGGTTTGAATCAGTACCCATACCGATCAAGCCGACTTCGGCCGCGGCCTTAGCCGCTGCTTCCGCGGCTCTGGCTGCCTCTAATGCGAGCGTTTTCTTGCCTTTGCCACGACCTCTTCGTTTCGGCCTCATCGGCGTACCATCCGGATTAAAGAGCTGTCCGTCTGGCCCAGTCATAAGAGGCATATGCCCGCCTTCGACGCTTCTGTCAGTTTCCGGTGTCAAGCTTGTAGGTAAAACAGCAGGATTGTGCGATTGTATATTACTCACGCTGTCCGGTGTCCCGATACCGCCGATGACTGATGTAGGCGCAATACCTAGATTCGATGCATTGTCTCTGCGCATTTGCTCAGCAATTATTTCAGCTTTGCTGCGACGTCCGCGTTTTTTCTTTTTAGGCGCCTCGCCGTCCATCCCTTCGGGCGCATTGGGATCTCTCTGTCTTTCCGCTGCCAATATCTCCAAAGCCTTCAAACGCGCCTTCTCCAACTTTTTGGCCTCTCGTTCCTCTTTCTTCTTCTTTTTCGCTATCTCAATTGCCGCGAGCTCCAATTGCCGTCGTCCGTATTCTTCGTCCAACATCATCTGTTCAAGCTGCTCATCATCCAAGTCAGCTAACTCCCCGGCACCGAGACTCGTCAGAGATCCCTCGGGAACATCTCCAGTAAATGAACTCGCTACCGACATCGTTGTACCTGTCAGTCCAACATTGTCCGGAAGACTCTCGTCCATTTTAGATGCTATATCGCCGATAGGATTGTCCATGACTGCGCCGATCATATCTCCATCTGCATCATCCTTTAATTTTTGTTTACGAGCTCTGTTTTTGCTTCCCGGTTTTGGTCCAGGTTTTTTCCTTTGTTTCGGCATATCGTCTGACAATGATTTTCGTTTCATTGCAAGACCCTTACCATTACGCGATTTCTTTGTCTTCAATGATTTGTTTTTAAATTTTAGAGCATCCTTCTTCGGAATATAAACATCTCCTGAAAAAGTTGATGATTAACGATTGTTATTTATATATTTATATATAATGTAATTCATAAATACATGACAAATGCACAATTCTCTTCAAGTAGAGAAAATATGTAAAACAAAAAAGAATTTAAACATAGATACTACAAAAGTTTTATTTCCCACAAGTTACGATAAATTAAAGAAAATAAAGCTTTCTATTACAATTGAATATCTCTTGATATATAATGAAATATAGAGACGCTACATCTGAATCATTTACCTGAATCGGAATCTTTCTCTCCATCATCATTTACGTCATCAGCTTCATTTACCACAAATTCATCTTCGCTCTCGCCAGTTTTTTTCATCATTAACGCCTTCTTCAGTTCCTATAAAATAATCAGAATTTTAATCTACATGATAACTTTGTTAAGTTAAAATGTCTCACCTCCTCACTATCTGATGCCATTGCCTCTCGATAATTAATTTTTCGTCCTCGAGTTCTTCTATCTAATATTTCTTCCTCTTCTCGTTTATTTTCATCTGGAAGTCCACCATAAATAATCTAAAAAAAATAAAATTTTATTATTATTATTATTATTATTTGAAAAAGATACAATTATTAAATCATTAAATCATTAAATTAAGATACGATATAGACATATACCTTTCGTCTGATAGTTGGGGCTTTTTTTGGTTTAGGCAGAATATCCTAAAAAAAAAAAAACATTTATGAATTTATACATTGTAATAATAAGAAAAAAGTGAAAAGAAATATTGGTTAGTAGCATCATATTCAAAAAGTTTATTATTTATTAGATATAGGATAGATATAAAAAGACTATATACAATTAATAAATTAGTAGTAATTTTTTTGTAAAAATCCAAAGAAATAGCATTAAATAGCAGACGAATGTATAAAATATTTAAATAAATTAAAAAGATTATTACCAAAGATTATTATCTTATAAAATATAGTGATATAAGAAACGAGATAGAAAATCTATTACCACGAGTATATTAACAATATGTGACATAAAGCTATATTATGCTATATATTGTGATAAAATGTATTGTGATGTCTTACATTATCTATGATGAGATATATTGTACAATATATATTACCCTTCACATGCCAAAAGGCACTATCATAAATAATCAATTAAAAAATAGTTACCTTTTTAATTTTTTGAATTGGCACTATCTCTGACGGTTGTGGAATCTGTGGAATCGGAACATCTGAAGCCATTTCTTGTAATTCATCCACTTTCATTTCAATATTATTTTTATCTGTATTATTTTCAAAATTCTCTTCTTTATTAATATCCATCACTTCATTCAACTCAGTAGTGTTTACATCTTGTAAGTTAGGTTCACTCTGTTCTTCAAGTTTTGGTTCATCTTCTTCATCGTTCTCACTCTGATTGTCGGATTCTATTATACGTTTTCTCTTTTTCCTCTTTTTGCCCTTTGTCTTGGGCACCGTCCTGATCCTAGATGTTGGTATTGTTTTGCTTCTATAATAATTTAAAAAAATTATATTATTTTAATAATTTTAAGTATTCTAGTTTATAATTTGTAATATATGATCTTTAATTTTTAATTTTTATTTCTATAAAAATATCTATTAAATGTATTAATTAAATCCTTCACATAAAATCCTGCTAAAAAAAAACTAAAATCTGATTAATCTTGAAATATAAAAAATCTTATTATTGTAATAGAAATACATTCATTTAATTTATCACACAACCAAATATCCTGATTTTATTATGTATTATATAATGGATTATATATAATATATATTCCAACATGTATAAGTAATAAAAATATAAAAATAGCACATATATAAGTAATAGAGATTTAAAAATAGCACGAGTTAATAAATGATAAAAAACTAAAAATTATAATCTCATCATTAAATTAAACTGTCTCAAAATAGATAAAAAAAAACAATAATTTTTTAAATCATTTTTTAAAATTTACTATTTATCAAATCTGATATAAATATTGTTAAAATTGATAAATAAAATAAAGTTTTGTCAACTATTCTATTGATTCTATTATTAATTAAAATGAATAAAATTATTAACATAATAAATCGATTAATAAAAATTTTTCCTCTTATATAAAATTTCATGTAATAAATAGATCTTTTAAATATAATTTCACCTTTTTTAGGAAGACATTGATTATATTTATATTAAATAGTGAATAAACCTTATAAACGAATAAAGCTTATTCACTATATTTATATTAAATAATGAATAAATCTTTAAAAAAAATAAACTATTATAATATAAATTATTATTATATACTTTTTCTTTCTCTGCCTCCATGAATTATCACTATCCTCGCTATCTGAATCTCCCCATATCGATCGTGATTTCTTTCTCTTTGGCCGATCACTCTCGTCACTATCGTCATTAACTGAAAAAAAATTTGCGATCATTTAAATAACTTATTTTTAAATTTTATTTAGGATATTTTATTATAGAGATCATGATAAATAATTTAATAAAACGCAAAACTCAATTAATCAATTTTATCGATTTAATTTTATATAACTTTATATGAATTAAATATTTTCATAAACAATTTTTAAAAAATTGCAAATAAAAATTATAGATTTTAATGAAATTTATATTTAAATAATTTTACATAGAAAATGTATGTAAATAATATTAAAAAGTATCAAGTGTTATAATTACTTACTAAAATCTTCATCGTAAGCCCTAGTACTGCGCGCTCTAGTAGATCTTCTAACAGGACGCGGCTCACCCTTTCTACCACGTCGCCTTACATTAGCAAAACTATCATCAGATGAAGTGATATGATCATCAAAGTCTTCCTCTTCTTCGGAACTCGTACCTTTGAAATCTTCATCACTATCTGGATCATCTTCGCTACTTATATCGAGGCTATTTAATTTTCGATGTTTCTTACGTGCTAACAATTTCTTAGCAACCGCACTTTGTTTCTCTTCCATTTCATCAATCATATCTTCATTCTCGATTTTATATTCCTCGTCACTTTCTTTTTCCGGTTTTGATTCGATATCATCTTTATCCTCTTCTAATTGCGTCATTTTTAACGCTTCGGCCTATAATAGACATTATATGTAATAATACTATCACATCTGCATATATATTTGTTGTTTAATCATTTTACCTCAGCCTCTTCTTTTTCCGCGTTGACTATCGTTGCAATGTCCTTACCCCTTCCCTGATTACCAGCTCCTTGAACCGCTTCAACTTCATCTTGAATCGCGGCGTTAATCATGTCATCATACTCGTTAAACTTATAGGTGTTAGCGCATCGACGTTCACGTAATTGATAAACTGGTTCGCTTTCATCACTGCTCGATGTTTCGGAACTAGAGGCTGACGAAGAGGAGTCCGAAGATTCTGTAAAAACAGAGAGATTAAATATGTATTACATAACAGTAACAATTATTGAATAACATAAAAATAACATAATTATTCATTTTAACTTAAAATAATTTAAATCAATCGCTACATAAAAATTTACCATTATCTGATTCCTGACTAGATGCTTTCGATCCTTTCACGCGTTGCGCTTCACCTTTATGAAGCACATTATCCAGACTTATGCCGACAAAAGCCAATCGTTTCTTCCGTAATACTTCATTCTCGTGTCTCTTTGTTAACTGATCGAGTGTCTTCAGTGTTTCTTGTAGCTTAGTCACCAGCAGATTCTTGAAGATCATATAAATATTTCATATAAAACATTTCATATAAATATATATAGAATTAAATTAATGTATTAGATGAAAAAAGAAATATTAATATATGTACAATATTTAAATGTTTTAAAAAAAGTGTAGTCGACCAAACTAGCCAGAAATTTTGTTTATTAATACGACGTTTCGACCATATGGTTGTGGTCCCTATCAAGTATATACTAGAAAGATTTATAAATAAATTAAACAATTAATTTACGGTTTGATTAATATAACAAGCACAACGAAATAAAGTGTGAACAATTTACCGATGTAATAATAATCAGGTAACAGGCATAGATGATAATCTTGCAAAACTGCACAAGTCACATTAACAAAAAACGTTATTTAACTAGATTCGAATTTGAGAGAAACTGATGCGTCCGTGTGAGACTTTGTCAAGAAACTAAACAACCAGAGGAAAAACGAAACTACGTGACCTTTATTATTTTGTCATAAATGTTGTTTAAACTATCCGTATCTTTTTGTAGATTGATTAGATTATTAAATCTCTTGATAAAGAACATCTCAGCGATCTCTTTCTTTCGAACATACTTTTCGCTATGCAAAATATTGGGTTTCGACCAATCAAAATCATGTTCGGATTCTAATCTATGTTTGCTAATGACCGAGTGATTAGTTTCATGTAACTTTATATTATTACAATGTTCTTTCACTCGCGTACGTAAATGTCTTTTTGTTTGTCCAATGTATGATAAATTACAATCTTTACAATTTAATTTGTATACAACACTTGTCTTGTCATTATTATGTAAGCTATCTTTACCGCGTCTAATTAAATTATTTAGTTTTTTTGTTATTTTGTAAACGACGTTAAAACCACTATTTCGTAAAAGACGGTAGAACATTGTAATAATATAAAGTTACATGAAACTAATCACTCGGTCATTAGCAAACATAGATTAGAATCCGAACATGATTTTGATTGGTCGAAACCCAATATTTTGCATAGCGAAAAGTATGTTCGACAGAGAGAGATCGCTGAGATGTTCTTTATCAAGAGATTTAATAATCTAATCAACCTACAAAAAGACACGGATAGTTTAAACAACATTTATGATAAAATAAGGGTCACGTAGTTTCGTTTTTCCTCTGGTTGTTTAGTTTCTTGACAAAGTCTCACACGGACGCATCAGTTTCTCTCAAATTCGAATCTAGTTAAATAACGTTTTTTGTTAATGTGACTTGTGCAGTTTTGCAAGATTATCGTCTATGCCTGTCACCTGATTATTATTACATCGGTAAATTGTTCACACTTTATTTCGTTGTGCTTGTTATATTAATCAAACCGTAAATTAATTGTTTAATTTATTTATAAATCTTTCCAGTATATACTTGATAAGAACCACAACCATATGGTCAAAACGTCGTATTAATAAACAAAATTTCTAGCTAGTTTGGTCGACTACATTTTTTTTCAACCTTGGATTATTGACTAGCGACATTAAATTATTATTTTTTAATTTTTAAATGTTTTATTTAAACATTTGTGTAAAGTTTTCAAAATGAGACAACTTACATGTTGGCATGGTGGACAAAACCAATCGCCTTCAGGTATAAGCATAAGAGCTGGCCTGAGGCATGAGCAATGCCAGCCTTTATCGCAAGAATCACACAAAAGAATCCATTCGGGATGATCAGCTTTCCCACATTTCTGACAGGCGTACTCATCCTCAGCTTCTTCAACATCGCTTTGGGCTAGTGACAAATATGAATGAAGTTATAATCGAATATAAATATCATTATATTTGTTTATTTTTTACGAAAAGCTTACCTTTCTGGGCGGTTCTAGCGCGTCTTAATGGTTCAGACTCTTGGTCTTTTTCGAGATCGCTTTCCGGAGAAAATTCGTGATCACTTTTAAACAGTAAAGATCCCTCGCTCTCGATATCTTCCTCTTCCTCTTCTTCGTCCTCATTCTCATTTTCTTCGTCGCTACTAGATCCGGATGAGCTCTGCCATGGATTCGCTTCATTGAATTTTGCTAACATCTTTTTCTTTTTTCTCTTTCGGCGTTTCTTTTTTGATTTTTTTTCTTTTTCCGTTTCTTTTATGACAACCTCTTTTATATAATCCTCTTCGCTTTCCGGCTACATGAGATAAACAATTATATGTGCAATCTATAAGTTATATAATTTTAATTTATTTAATCTAATAACTTACTTTTTGTTTCTTTCTCTTTTTCTTGTCTGATTCTTTTTTCTCTTCCAAATCACGCATAGTTTCCTCCTCGATTCTACGCCTATCTGCTTGTTCTTTAATTTTTAATTGTGCTATTCTTCTTGATTGCCTAACAGGCGTCTCATCCTGTGCCAGTCCTGATGCTTCCGTTTCCAATTTAATATCTCTGCCTATTTCTAAGCCAAGAACCATTTTTCCTGTAAAAACACAATTTTTCAATTTTAGTACATCTTTACGCTAATTTTTTATATTCAATAAGCTATTGCCACATATATTTATATACAGACTTACGTTTCTTTCGCTTCTTCTGTGCTGAATTTAAAGCATCATTGGAAGTCCCATCGGGATGAGCACCAGGCGAAATTTCGGACATTTGATCGCCCTGAAATTCCGCAAGTTTCGACCGATTAGGACGTCCACCTCCTCGACAACCACGCCTTCGTTTGCCTCTAGGACGACCCCTGATCTTTTTATCAATCGGCACCGATTGCATAATATTTGGATCATCACTGCCATCTTTAGTCGCGAGCTCCACTACATCAGGATCACATTTTACAGCCTCGTCCTCAGAGCTCACTGTTATCTCGCGGCTCTCCTCGATGGACTTTCGTAATTCCTTATCGGATATACGTTTTGCGCGTAATTTCATCCTCTTGCCGCCCATCATTTCTTCATCTTCCTTTGTAGCTCCGTCTTCAGAATTTGATTCGTGAGCACTATTTCGTCGTTTTCGCGAAATCTTCGGCGTTTCCGTAGTGCTGTCTAATTTCCATCCCTCGTAAACTATTTCTGATACCGGCTTTATACGGATACTTATCTTAGAAACATCATCATCCTCTGTAATATTTCTTAAAGCATCATCCTCGGTAATATTCTTTAAAGGGTCATCCTCGTTACATGCTAAAGGATCAACTTCTTCTGATGGTACGTTAAAACCGCCCTCGTTATCCATGCCTGTTGAATCGCTATCAGAAGCTACAGAAGCTACAGAAGCAGGCTTCATCTCGATATTTTGAATTTCTAAAGATGGTTCTTTTCTTTCTTCTAAATCGATTTTGGAATCCTCTATCGCTGTAGCAGTCGTGGAATCGTTAATCATACTAAAATCGTTTTGAAACAATTGTGTCGTAGAGATTGCCGATGTTTTCGCTTCGTCTTTGATTTGTGGTTTTAAGGTTTCCATCTCATTCAACGTATCTAAATTCTTAAGCGGTTGCACCTCGGTACTTACTAAATTTTCAAACATCTTATCGTCAGTTTCAAAATATGGTGGCTTAGACTTTAATGGAGGAACATCTTCCGTGTCCGAAGAATCGCTCAATCTTTTGCTAGCTTCTTTCTTGATATCAGATTTTACAGCGTTAACTTCTGAGATAGTCTCTTGAGCAAAAAATATCATCGATTCATCTTTCGTATTTAAAGGCGCACTGAAATTCTCTGTACTTTTATTTACATTCAGATTTACACTAAAAGGCTCATTTTGATTGCTACTATCCAAGTTATTAACATTTTCCATCTTCGTAGACATCGAATTTGGATAATATAAAGTGTTTGAAGATATGCTTTCTTCTAATTTCGGATCTTCAAGATACGATTTATCCGCAGTTAAAGTATTATCCAATTTCGCTGGCACTATATCCGATTCTGTTTGAATCGGTGGTAAACTCATCTCTTCCACGAATGGTTTAGTTAAACATTCTTCTTGCAATTTTACATCCCATTTATTGTCTTTAGCATAATCCGTTAGATCCTCTTTAAATCTTTTACATGGAATAGGCAGTTCTTCAGCAATGTGTTCATTTACATTCTTCAGCCTTACGATATTTTCTGTATCTAAATTGACATTCATTTTTTCATCAATATCCCTCATATGCTGCTCCTTTACATCAAATATGTTAGTCACTTGGTTATCCAGAGCGTTAATTTCCATACTTTCTTGGGCAAATGAAGATTTTGCAAATTTATTCGCGTCGTTTCTGTCGAAATTGCAAACATTCTCGGATGTCAAACATTCCCCTTTTTCCGTTATTTCATCAACAGTCTCTTGACAGTCTTGTACTGTTTTCATATTGTCGATCAAATTATTAAAATGTTCTTTATTTTTTTCACTATGGCTCATTTCAAAACTCTTGTTCAGAAGAGGCTCAATTATTTCTTCAGTCATGACTGGAGTAACTAATAGTTTCGTTGCATCTGATACTTCCAATGTTTTAATATTGTCAGTAACATTACGAATGTCTGTTTTTTCTTGAAATTCATCTTTATTTAAAGGCATTGTCGATTCATCATTCAAACAATCTTCAATATTACTATCAATATTGCAAGCAGATATAACATTTGTCTCGACAACACATTTTTGCTCACTAACGTTTGTAATATCTTCATTTAATATTTCATTCATTTTCGTTTCTGAAGGTTTCTCCGCTTGCTGTTCAGATGGTTCCTTTTGAGACGCATCGGAGACTAAATTTACGTTGTTGGTGTCATCTTTTTGGACAGATGATTTTTCGTGCAACTCTTCACTAATTTTTCGTTCCATCGAGACAGCAACATCATCCTTCGAATCACTTTGCGCCACATCAGGTTCGAAAACATTATCGCTACCATCATCATTGGAATCACTGTCGTAATTCGCAACTAGCGGTTGTTTATTCTCATTTGTTATCTCCTGTTGTGAGTCTTGAGAAATTACATTTATTGAATGTACATTCGATAATTCAGTAATTGCAACTGTCGTATTTATCTCTGATTCTTCTATGCTTTCGACAATTTCTTTACTTTTGCTGACGTCACAAATATCTTCCGCTACTATCGTATCTCGTTTATCAGTATTGTAGATTTTACTCTCATCATCTTCGGCAAATTCTTTATCATTTTTGCTTTCTACGTCAGCTTCAGACTTCTCTTTCTCTGAGGTTTCAGTTTCTGTCGCAATCTGACAAGATTCTTGTTCAATATTTGCAATAACTGGAGTTTCTTTTTCAGGATCCATCGTTGCTTCTTGCACTGCATCCTCCGGTTGTCCATCATTCATTGTAACTTCCTCAGTTTCTTTAAACGATTCATTAGATTCCGATATACGATCATCTATAACCATCTCTTCATTCGAATCTTGATCGATGCAAGAACTGAGGTTCTCAGAAACATCATCAACATATTCGCTTGTAGCCTGAACTATGTTAGACAAGTTCGTTCCTTTCGTAGTTTCGACAATATCCGACTTGGGCAATTCAAGAATATTTGTTTCAGGCATTATTTCTGGTAAAATGTTCTGGTTGAATGTAGAAGGTTTATCGATAACAGACAATGTATTTTCAACTTTTTCGCTGTCTATTTGCACAGGTCCACTCTGTTGAGACGAGGAGTCCTGCACAGATACATCATCCGAACTGCTTATGGTAGGAACTAAATCGTGTTTAGCATTTTCTTTAAGAGACTCCGAAACGGTCACAGAATCCATATCAAACACAGTATCGTTAACTTGCATATCGTTCAATCCTTTCTCTTTAATCTCTTCGGAATCACCTGATCCATCATCTTGCATCCCTATGTCAGATAATGCATCAGTTCTTTCGCTGTTTTTATCGTAATTAACGCATAACGAGTCGGCATCGGAACCGATCAGACCTTTCATCTTTTCGTTATCCGTGTCAGTCGAATGATCTTCCTGACCGTCGATTTCGGAAAAATTATCATTTTTATCACTCTGCTTGTCGCAACTCTCTCCAGCGGAATCGAGATCATTCTTTTGAAGGCTGTTTGCTTCCTGGTAATCTTCGGATAATCTTGTTGCATTTGTGGAATCTACTAATTCATTAGAATTGTTATCCTCAATTTTCTTAAAATCGGTCAATTCTATTTGTGAATCTTGAGTAAGAAGCGAAGACGAATGCGGTGTTGTTACAGATTCGATTTTCCCTTCGTCTTCCTTGAAGTTGTTTGAATTAACAGACTGATGATTGTACTCATTTTTACAATCATCGATTGGTTCTTCATCTTTATCTTCTTTATCATCCGACAATTGCGGTATAATATTGTCCGATATTTCAAAAGAAATATTTTCCTGAGTTTTTTCTATGCCTTCAGATTTTTCAGAATCAATAGATGTATCACATTGTGATTGTTCAACAATTCCACATTCTACTGGTCCAATTACGCTGGATTCATCAATCGAACTGATTTTAATCGGATCTTGTTCACTCATACTTATATCATTAATACTTTCATTTTCTGCCTCTGTACTCGTATGTATTTTTGAAAAGTTATCTTCTTCCGTTTCTTTGCTGGAACAAACAGATTCTTGCACGCTTGATTCCTTATTCGTCTCTGTCGAAACTTGAGCGACAGATGAATTAGTGACATCACACTCGGATACATCGCTTGGATCTATCGAACTATTAAGTGTTGAAATTGTATGTTGATCCCACGTGTTGCTTGGTGTTTCAATTTTTTCCGTGTCTTCGCTATTGTTTCCGCATGGAACACTGTCAGAATCTGAAGTAAACAGATCCGTCTTTAGCGAATTATTGTTTGTTTGCGTCAACTCAAAATCTTCCGTATTTTTGTATGGATAAACAGTATCGTCCACCAATTTCGATGAAGATACACATTCATATTGTACAGTATCCGTTTTACTATGCGCAGATGCGATCAAACTTTGCTCCGATTCTAATTCATCGGATTTCGAGGTATATGAGATACAATTGGGACCAAAAAAAAATCTCGGTGGAGAATTGGCAATTGTTGGTTTGCATTCATTATCCGTTATTTCAGGAGTATCCGGCTCGCGTGAAACTACACTATTCAAATCGTTTTGTACATTGGCTGAATCTACCATAGATAGTTCAGAATTTGTACATTCTTCGGGCGTCTGTGAAATATCTTGACACGACGATATAGAAGAATCACATTGCATGGATTCTTGAAGTTTAGCATCACTTTTCTGTTCCATACTCATATTTGTATTCGTACTCTTTAAACTTTCATCGAACATTTTAACACTGTCTTTGATGGTGGTTTCACTTTCCGTGTTTACAGGTTTGTCATCTGTTTTGACATCTTGATTTACATCAGCAGAAACTTCCATTTTCGATTCTGTATCCGTGTTCAATAGCTTCTGCTCTGCATCGTCACATTTATAATCATTTGTATTTTCCTTCAATGATATGTCTTCTTCCACATGTGATATGATACTACTGTCACATTCTGCTTTCTCCTCCGGTTTTCCCACGTCCCACCTAGATAACCTTTTGACGGGACCAGTTGTACTTTTAGGTATTATTTGGACGCCCAACGTTTGCTTAAACTTTGGCTTCTCTTGCATAGAATCTACTATTTGACAATTATCGTTTACGCTTATATTAGATTGCGGATAGTTTCTATTTAATTTTACAGGGGTTTTGTTCGATACTATCGAGCCCGTAGACACCTCGTTTTCGGTTAAAACCTTATTCTGCGATAATGTCGCGGTAGCGGAGTCAGGTTCAGTTTTTGATTCGTTGCTTTCTTTATTGTCAGTGGACGTGTCGTCACCGGGATTACCTGTCTCGCATTCCGTGCCGGAGCCCTCGCCGTAAAAAAAAATAGTTGGTTCTTCCACAGCTTCTCCGACAATAGGATTCACCGCATCACAATCGCTACCAGATCCTTCACCTTGTACCATCATCATAGGTTCCTCGATAGCCTCGCTCATTTCATCCCTCCAATTGCCGCTTATCATTGGTCTCTTATCTATGGAGCCTCTGATTGGAATTACGTCCGCTCTTATCCTCTTCAGCATATCTTGCTGCACATCGTCACCTTCTAGGGGACGTTTCAATGGCATGGTGTTCATCCTCAAGGAAGTGATCTTGCTATGATCGGGAAGTATCGTGTAGCTCGGTAATCTATGCTCGTCCTTGACAGGTAATCTAGCTGTATTGTGATACGGCGTCGATGACATCTCGTACGCAGTGAATGGCATTTGCCGTTTGCTCAAATCAGCCAACCTCGCGTGGTTACGCATCATCACGCTATGTGCGTCGTACGGCAAATTCGGTACTTCCGGTTTGTTTAGCTTCTTTGTGCTCAAATCCATCTCTCGATGTTGAAAATCTTGCGTTCTGTAGCCCGGGGAAGGCAGATCCATCGTCTTCCCTTTTCGACTAGAAAGATCGATTCCGGAAAAATCCATCGGTCTGTTTTGCTCGTTTGCGCTCTCCCAACCACGCGGTGATGTCGACAAGTCTATGCCTCTGTGACCTCTAAGAGTTGATTTTTCAGATTGATTTCTTGAGCAAAAATCTTGCGGCAACCTATCGTCCTCTCCATTCGCGGTATTTCCCAATATACCACCGGATCTTGCGAGAGATTCCGCTATCTTTTCCAATGATTTTGGTCCGCTTGGCTTCTCCAGTTTTTCTGATTGTATCCTCACAAGATTCGCAGCCAGTTGATCTATTGGCTTGATAGATAGTTTGCTGTGTGCCATAGAAATAGAATCTGTAGAGGAAAAAGGCAAGTTACTTTTGCCAGATAATTTCTCGAGCGATTTCATAACAGGATCTGTTATCTCGTCGGAAATACCATATTTTTTCGCTGCATTTAATGATGCCGTGACAGGTGTTGTTGGACTTAGTAATTTTTCTTCTGGCATTTGTTTTAACTCCGAAATATTCACTAGCTTCAGTGGAGACGAAGTAATAACAGGCGTTTCTATCGATTTTAATGGTGCCGATTCTTCAACCTCGAATTTCACGTTATCTGTTACTGTAGGTGCAGTCTGTTTATGTATAATCGCGGATTTACTCTCCGATGTTAAAGAATCGGATGTTACGTCGGTAGCCTCTCTGCGGCTTACTTCTTCCGATATTACATTCACCTTCATGTTTAGCGTTTTCAAATTAGACGCTGATAATGTAGACGAAGTATTCATACATCTTGATTCTATGCTCGAAGTTTGTACCATTTCTTGAGAATCGTCTTCCTCTGTAATTTGCTTGGAACTTTCGTCGTTTGTCATATCCTCCTCTTCCGCATCAATATCTTCTTCCTCATCATTTTCAACTTCATTAGTATCATCCTGATCCTGATCCTGATCCTGATCCTGATCCTGATCCTGATCATGTTCTTGTTCATCCTCAAACTCGTCACTCCTACCGTTGGGTAACTGTTTACCATTCATCTCATTTGTGTGAATGCCATTCTCTTGCACAACTTCGTCCTCCAAACTTGGTGATGTCGTTACTTGACCAGTGTCTATTATAGGTTTTTCAGAGATTTCTAAACTGTTGCTATCCTCATTAATTGGTATAGCTCCGGCTTCGCCATTCGACAAGGTGTTTATGAGACTAACAACACCTTCTCGATCCCTATTACAAAAGATATATAATATGCACTATTGATAGATTCAATTAAAATAATAAAATATAATAATACAAAAGCATATTATCGGTTAATCTAGTTTGTAAAAAAAAAACTTACTGAGCTACTAGTTCCCAATTCTCTTCGTCTAAATCTTCCCTATAAACTCTTATGTTGCACTCCTCGTCTAACTGACACCAATATGCTAATCCACTTTTGTCCCTTCCTAATGGTTCCACGCGCAATTCATCAGCTGCCAATTTGTTCACTTCATTCTTAAATTTTTGATTTAAATCAAACTGCGTTTCCAATAGTACCTAGAAAATAAAAAAGGCTTGCGCATGAAAAAAATCTTTCAATTTTATAGATAAAAAAAATAGAATTATATAATAGTTCATACTTTAAGTAAACGCAGTTTAACAGCAATGCGAGCCTTTTTATAACCAAAGCGTTCAAGTTCCCATCCATCCTGATTAGAGTACGTGTGGCAAAACTTGACTAGTGCCCGTTCCCATTTCTCCGGTGACACACTTTTACGTGTTTTACGTAACAACTTGATGTGCAGGTCTATTAATTCTCGTGACACTAAAAAGAACATATAATAAATTTGTAAGAATTACAAATAAATAAATATACCGAAGAAAATTTCTAATCTAAACTGTATATTGTGTAAATATATCAATGACTTGTGTCAAAGTTTTCAGAAAATGTAACATTGATCGAATGTCCACTTATTTTTTAAATACGTATAATTGAAACAATAACACTGATACAGAAACTCTAAAATAACAGAAAAATATATCTCCCTAGATTTAATTCAAATATTACAAAAAAGCAATTCAAGGTTAACGTTAAACTTGAATGAAAGTACAAATAACGTGACAAAAACAGAAAATACAAGTGTTTTGTTTCCACAGAGTAGACCTTCCGTCTACGGATTGACGATCGTATACGAGTCTCTACTACGTACTACGGCGATCAATGACATTTCCCCGAAATTGGAGCGAGCCGGCGTCGCTTGTAACTTGCATGTAATCACGTGTAACCGACAAGTTGACAACAAGGAAGGTGGCAGCACGCGGCGGAATAACAACAATGCGAAATCCGCGCTTATCTGTCAATACAACAACGCTTAACGCAAGGAAAGCCGCGTCGTCGTAAAACGGCGTAAAGGGAAAGGACGTTTCGCGATTACCTTCGTCTATCCCGCGCCGCCAAAACAGAAGGCGGCGGTCCCGCGTCCACCTTCCTCGCGCGTTCCAAGCGAGAGAGAGGCGCGACTCGTTTGCCGGAACGAATCAACAAACGGAGGGACGATCGAGGCTCGCAGTCGCAGCGGAGTCGTACGAAGGAAACTAATGGTACGGCGCTTAGACGACTGGCCTTTTGCGGGGGCGGGTCGCTGTCGTTGCCTCTCGCTTCCTCTCGCACACTTCGCATACACGCTATTCCCCTCTCTTTCTCTCCCACTCTCTCTATCTCTCTCTCTCTCTCTCGCTCACACCGTCTAGCGCGTATATACACGACCGTGTCTTCTGTCCCTCCCTTCCACCCGCGCACGAGAGAGCACGTACACACAAGCGTAAAGGGAGAGACCGCGGTAAAGACCCACCTTCCTGCGTGTTCTCGAGCATATCCTGGAGTCGCGCGATGTCCGGATAAACGATGCCGCAGGACTTGCCGAAGCAGCCAAGGAACGAGCAGATCACCGCGAAATTTGGGTCACTCGCGCAAGAGGCTTCGTTATCGGACGCCATTTTTCCGACCGCTTCTCGCCGTTGGGCCCCGTCGCCGCCACCGCCACCGCCGCCGCCGTCACCGCCGCCGCCGCCGCCGCCGCCACCGCCGCCGCCGCCGCCGCCGCCGCCGCCACCGCCGCCGTCAAACAGGCGCGACACACTACTACGCTAGGCGGCCCTGCGATGGCTTGCCGCGCATCCCATTTTTCACTACACCAGCGGGCCACTACACCAATAACGCGAACGAGTAGCTACGTGAGAAATTTCGCGCCTTCGATCGTCGAGGCAGGTAGTCAGTCGGCCGCCGAGCGCCTCGACGCCGACGCTTCCCGCTTCCTCGCCGCTCTCGTCTTCCTCTACCTCGTCGTTGTGCGCGCCCTTGGTGTCTTCGCGCGCCTCTACCTGCCACTCGCGCGCCGACGAGGAGGGGGGAGCGCACACAACACACACGCACTCACGCGCGCGCGCGCTCACAGGAGGAGTAGAAAGAGAGAGAGACGGAGGCACTTATTCCTCCGCCCTCTCTCAAAAGTGGACAAGTGAAAAGAAGCGGCGCCGCCGCCGCCGCTCTTTCTCTTTCTCTCTCCCTCTCTCTCCTTCTCTCTGTCTCTCTTCCTTCTCTTTTCCTCTCGCGCACTTTATATCGCTCTCGTTGGATCTGTCTCTTCTCCGCAAGTTTTTCACGAGTCACGAACACAGACGCACATCGCGCGTTAGAGCTCTAATGCGCGTTGTTTCCTTCCCTCTTCCCCCCTTCTCCCCCCCCGAAACTCCATCCGTTCCGCGCTATCTCCCTCCTTTTCTCTCTCGCGCGCACGATCACACACGCGCGACGTTTCGCTCCGTCGATGCCGAGAGCGCGCGCGGGCGTGCGCGGGCACGCACGCACGCACGCACGTACGTCGCGACGACTACGACGACGTTGTAGGCAGGAAAGTACGGCGCGTACGAGCCACGCTCCTCGAGACGGATATCGCGCACCGGAGGACGCACGGGGACGAATTATTCTCGCGAACGCTCCGACTTTCGCGACTCCTCGCGTCCTAGATGAACGTACGCGCGTGACGTCGAGACGCGATCGCCGAGTCACCGGGTGCACACGAGCGGCGCAGTAACGACCACCACGACGAAACGCATCCCCCTTCCTTGTCGCGCGCAACACGGAGCACTGGACATCGCCTTCGGGATTGGAAACATTCGGGGGGTTCTCAACCGAGGCGACGAAGCGCGGTACAATAGGGGCCAGGACCGTGCGAAAAGTCTGCGTCAAAAGTCGGGCTCGCGAACGATTTTCCCCGATGGAACAATGTCGACTTTGTTCGATTTTCAAATCATATGCAATCTACGCATTTTATATGAAATTATATTTGGAGGGTATAATGACAGGTGTCGATTATTGAAAAATAATCTATTATTACTACTGTAATTTGTTTTTCAATTATATTCTTATTTTTTATTGACATAGCATTTTTTAGAGTTACTATTTTTATAGAGTACTGCTATATAAATTTTCTTCGCATTTTATACGAAATTATATTTGGAGGGTATAATGACAGATGTCGATTATTGAAAAATAGTCTATTATTACTACTGTAAAAATTTGTTTTTCAATTATATTCTTATTTTTTATAGACATGGCATTTTTTAGTTATTATTTTTATAGAGTACTGTTATATAAATTCCTCCTTCATTTAATAAAAGGAAGAGAGAATTTTGAGAAATCAAATATTTTTACAACAAAGAATATGTTATATTCATTTTATTCTATTAATAGAGAAAACTCAAGAATCTTTAAGAATATATTTGTGTGATTCCAAATTTAATACAATCTAAATTTATTGTGAAAAATCGCGGACGAATAATACTTCGATATACAAGGTTTATATTGTTTATTGTTGGAGTAGTAGAACGCCTTAGACCCTCGAGCGACTTGATCGGCCCTGATGATCGTACCTGGCGGTCTTTAAGCCGCGTCCACGTACATCTCTCACATATACGTTCCTCCTCCCTTTCCCTCTTTCCCTCCACGATTATTATCTTCCTAATCACGCACGAGGTCGACGTTTACTCGACTAGTACTGGCGCATCGTTTTTATCGTCACGTGCTCAGACACTGCTGTCGAGAGCGAGAATCATTCGGACGGAGCGCGAAAATTCTCCACGAAAATCAGCTCAAATGTGTCAGGCTCTCAGGTTCGCTTCGCCGAACGACGTTCTCGCTCGATGACGTATCTGCGCAGTTTGCGATGTCGCGTCAAGAGCATGAGCACCATGACACAGGGCGACATTAACATCGCCAGGTACCCTTGCGCATCGCGCGTGATGGAGTCGCGCTTGTCAAGTTGACCCTTGAACAACCGAGGCGCTCGGAATCTCTCTTACGAACGCCTTTCTACATGAATCGGAAACGATAATCATTGAAACGCGAATAGCACATATATTTAGGATCGATCGCGAGGCGCGCTCGAGGTTCAACTCGCCAACATTCCTGCCGACAAAAAGGGGAAGGACGCGGGAGGAGGCTTGATCGCTCTCGAGAGCGCACGCTTCTTTCAAATTTAATTCCTCGAATGATCGTGACTTCTGCAAGTCTGCTCCGCTAAACATAACGCACAATCGCTCGCGTGATATATTTGTTCTCCATCGGCTGTCACTCGTGTTTGCGCTACACGTGATGCCTGTATGGCATCGACTTTCAAAGATGCCCCGAGAACATAAATAGGCTACAAACAGGAGCATAATCCGTGGATTTTGTTGGATATTTTGTTACGTTATATTGTAGACGATGTTTCAACATTCTTTGTTTCTGTTTTGAAAAAAAAATATTCAAAATTTTACAATGTATGAACCTGACAGTTCTCATACTTCCTGCTGGCAGCATAATTCTACTTTCCAGCGAGAAAATACAGATAGGTTCAATATCACACGATAGGCTTTTAAATAAAGAACATTTTTGAAATTCTGAAAATTTTTCAATTTGTGATAAAATCGATTGTTTGAATTTATTTCTTGCTGAAAGACTCTCTTAGTATATTTCTAGACCAGAATCAGCATAGGGTATATTTCTCTGCGTCTTTATAGCGTCGGGGAAATCGTTCTCGGCGAAATTACATCGATTTTGAAATCCTAATAAAAAGAGCTCTCTCATGCATATACGTGAACGAACGTTCAATTTCGAGGACGGGATATGCGCCGCTTAAAGGGACACTATTTTGAAGCGAGAACGTGCAGTGGCGTTGGCAATGGGTCGAGTTTTACGATCGATCGGCGTCGAGAGGAGGCGTCCGAATATCCGTCTCACGGAAATCGAACGGGCTTGAAAGGGAATTGAATTCGTGGGCGCGACGTCGCGAAAGTACAATAAAAAATTCGCGATCCTTTTTCTTCTCGGCGAGATTCAGCTTCCACAAGGAACTACGTGCGGGAATGTCTAGGTGTGTCAACGGATTAAGTTATTTATCGATTGGCGCGCGTAGCCCACCCCTGAGAATTATCCGAGAACGCCCATGGGCGCGACGATTCGATCGATCGCCAAGTCGAGATGAGGGAACGATCGCCGAAAATACGCTCGCAACGTGTCGGAAAATCAGTTTCGGTCAAATGAGACTTGACGTATTCGTAATCGTTGAATAAAAATTAATCGTGTGCCAATAGTTCAGCAGGAGTCGACGTAAAGATCATTTTCACGTAAATATGACATCGGGATCTCGTTCATCTCCAGTACTTTATATATGTAGAGCGAGACTAGTCCTTTTAAAAGAGAGAGAGAGGCTGAGAAAGGAAAAGTGTCGCATATTAAGATACGGATGACAAATCTATTGCCGTAATCGATATTATGAAAATATCGCATTTACATGTAAACAGTATTCCGTTTTGACAAGTAATACATCATACATGAATAAACAAAATATATAAAATTTTAATATATATATAAAATTTTTTTCCCATAAAAATTGCCAGTCTCTATATTGGAACATGTAAATACATAAGAGACTGGAAATCTATAAAAGAAAAAAGCTATACAGTTACAACATTAGGATAAAATATCTATTAAACTATTAATATATAGCGTAAAACTTATTCTTGATTGAGAAATCAAGCGAGAGTCGAAAAATAATTATTTAAATTGTTTTTTTTTTTTAAATGCAAAATTCATCAGATTATACGTCAGATACGATGCCGCGAAATATTTAATTCGCGGGAAATATAGAAATATTCAACAAGTGGTATACATATATATTCTTCAACCTTTATGTATAATTTATGCATTATTTATACTAGGTTTTTTTTTTTAAATCATTAACATCAACATTCCATAATCGATATGATACTGATATGAAATACTTTTGTTACATAGAAAACAGTCTTTATTCCTGAATGAAATCTTTTCAGCTCATAATTAACAACTTTTATTAGTTTTTATATATAAAGTTATATTTACAATGTACATTGTGTGCTATAGAAAAATCTTATTTTAAAAAAAAGAATTATATCCTAGATATAGACCGTTGCATCCCAACTTTCTCCATAGCGCTTTATACAACGTAGTTTTTTTTTGTACCTGAGGTTAACTATTTTCCTGTACATTCTCTGCTGTACATTATCTCATTGTTTCACATTTCGTTCGAGATATCTTTAAATTAAATTACATTGGTCGAATACTCTAGTATCTAAAAATTTTAACATCGACACTAAACTAGTATCAATATTAAAAACTTTTATTTTTATTAATTTCTTCATAACAGCTATTAATTTATTATTGAAAACTTTAACTAATCAGCTGTTAAGAAAACATTTGGAATGCAAGCATTTCAGATTAAAAAGGATGAAATAATGTACTGTGTATCGAAAATAATTTTAAGATATGTTATATGCTCGGGATTACATGCCAAATTGATTTGCTTTCCACATTATTCTATTTAAAAGCATACAGAATTTCATGATGTCTCAACAATGTACATAATTTTAATAATGTTAATTATAACTTCAGAAAAAATTTACATAGACTTCATATTCAATAACTTTGAAAACATTTTATCATCTCAATGTTTATGTATGATAACAATATTTCATAGAAGTTAATTTGTGTATTTATAAAAGTACAATATGTATAAAATAGACAATAGTTTATACATTATTAACGGCACTAATTTTTGTGCTGAGTTACGCGTATCCTTTATCACACTTAATAACTGATACTGCACATAAAAGTAAATGCCTATATAGGATGAATATTAGACAGCAATCAACATGTGCTTATTTAAATAAAGCTTATGTCTCAACATTATACAATTCCAGTAATAAATCATGAATAATTAAGAAGAAATAATAATCGTCGAATTGTTTCTCTTTCTTTTTATATAAAAATGTATATATATATATATATATATATATATATATATATATACACACACACACATATATATATATATATATATATATATATATATTTGTTACAAAGAAAAAAGAAGATCCATATTTTATACAGATGAGTTTAGGATGTATGTATTAGGTATGATTATATGTATTAGGTTGAATCATAAATTTAAGGAAAAGAGAAGAGATATTTCTTTTTTTAAATAAATGATTCAAATAGCTAATGTAATAGATGAAATTGATAAATTTGACTGATAAATTTAAAGAAAATTAAAGAAACATTTTAGACATTTTAAATGGATAACAAGATTATTATTTAGTACTTAGTCATTTTCTTTTTAATTTTTTATGCAATTTAATTTAATATAATCTATCTATGGAACTGATACTGAAGAGATTAAACTGGATATATTATGTGGAAAGCAAAATAATTTATATATATATATATATATATATATTTACGTATTTATATATCAAATTGTGTAAATGTGTCTCCAAAAAATTTAGAAAGAGACTCAACCAAAAATTATTTAATTTTTACATCTCATTTACCTAACAAAAATAATGCTTACTAAAATTCATGCTTACTAAAAAATAAAATGAATATTAACATTTTTTAAGCACGTGAAAAATTCTCGATTTCCTATAACTATTCATTATAAGATTATGTTAGTAATGAAAATGGCAGACTGTTATTTTGTATTTATGGAAGCAAAATATATAAAAAAAAAAAAGATTTGTATTATTTCTGGACTACAATGTGATAAAATTTACTATAAATAACAAACTTCCAAAATTTTTTTGGTATAAAGAAATAAATCTGATTTGATGACATGTGAACCATGAAATTGAATATGAAATCTATACCTGTACAAAATCACTTAGATGTTATTTGCGCTGTGATGTTTTTAAGTTGTTGCTTATATATTTCCGCTTCTTTCTCTTTCTCTTGCAATTGTTTACGATATTCAGCAGCTTGTCTTCGCGCTTCTGCTAATTGTTTGCTTAATATCGCTACATCTGTTATGGGCTCATTATTTCCCGCATCCTCTTCAATTATTTCTTCTACCTCGTCATTCAATTGTAAAACTGTTGATTCTGTGACCTTAGTTGGAAAACTCGCAATTTTCTGCAATGTAAAAATATTTTCATGTACAAACTTGCCTGTGTGTTATTACTTAATATTTAAAATACATAAATAAATAATTTTACCTCCTTCAATGAAAGTGAGTTCTTGATTTCACTAACAGTAGGTGTTGTAACATTAGAGATTGTTGTAACAAATAACTTTGCCGCTTTGTTATCTACAGCATTTCTTTTCAAAATATTTGGACCCCGTGTAAGAGCAGATGTATTAGAATTTGGACTTAAGATTTTAGAGTGAATCTGATCCGTTCTAATTGCTATAACTTTTCTCGCCCCTTTTCGCGAAGCAAGGCGCTTAATCGACGAACCTTTTGTTAAATTTAAAGCAAGTTTTCCAGCTTCTGTAATCATGTATTAACATGAAAAATAGTTAAAATAAAAAAATACACAATAAGTTTCCAACATATCTACAACAAGAAAGACAAACCTGTCAAAACTACTGTTCTTCCACTTTCCATTGCATTTTCTACAATAGATGATTCATCGTCCATAGGTATCATTGTGATTCCATGTGCTTCTAATAACCTAAACTGTTTACTGATATTTCCTATCGACATAATATCTTTATGTTTTTTATTATTCGTAATAGTATTTGTATCAATCAATTCAACATCTTCAGTTTCTTTATCTTCACCATCCGTGTTGTTTGGTGATATAGAGATTTGATGAAAAACCATTTTTTGCTTTTTTTCAATTTGTGCTAAAAATTACAAGTAGATATGTAAAATACAAACCAAAATTACAAAAGTAGATGAAAAAAATTATATTAATACATTAGAGCATTTACCTTGAGAATGTTTACGTTTACGTTGTTGCTTTATGCTTTCAAACTTGTACTGTTCCTCTTCCTGCATTATCGAACTTCTGCTATTGTTTTCAGCCTCTAATTGTACTAAATTATGCGTAGCTACGTCTAATTCCGCAGAATTAGCTTGATTCTGTTGATGAGTTGGGATACCTATTATTTCCCTTTGTTGTTGTAATATATCCACTAAGTCTAACCTATCATGTTCTAACGCAAGACTAATTGGAGTTTTGTGAAATTTACTAGTTGCATTCGTATCAGCTCCATGATCTAATAAAATGTGCATCACATCTACATGCTCGTGTTCTACTGCCCAGTGTAGCGGGGTCATTTTTAGCTGTAAAAAATGTTTGTATTGTAATTGTAGTAAAAAAATCATTAAATCTGTAATCTACATTTTGTTATTGTACCATGTCTCTACTATCAACATCCGCTCCATAATTAAGCAACAATTGTACCATCTGATGATGGCCCTCATATGCTGCCATGTGTAACGGAGTTCTATCAACCTTTGTCCTAGCATCCCTCGATATTCCTGCTCTAAGTAAAACTTCAGCAGTCTCTAAATGATTGTTCTGTGCAGCTAAGTGAAGCGCACTGGTACCAAGCTAAAAGACAAGGATATACATCATGTTTATGTTTACAAGTTAAATATACAAACACTATTTAAACATTGCATGTACCCAATCTGTGGTAAATGGTGCGCCTCTACACATGAGCTCACGAACAGTCTCAGTGTCTCCATTTTTTGCATTATGTAGGAGCTGTTTCCCAAGTTCCACCATCGTCGAGGCATCTTGGGTTCTCGAATGAGATGAGACATTGCAATCGAATAGTTCAACCTAATTGCAGATTTAAGACAATTGCAGATTATTATCTGTACGATGTAACTTTATAAAATGATTAGACTAGCGCATGTTTTACACACTTTTGAGAAGGTCGATGAGAGACACTTACTGGTATAACAGTATCCGCATCTAGACTCTCGATATCATTAGCACATATGCTCTCTTGCATAGATTGCATCCTTGCGCGTCAAGCTCAATCCCCTTCGTGCAAACGGACTCTGAAATTAAATTATCCATGATGGTAATGATGAATTCTTCGGCGACGATCGACGGCAGCTGTAAGAACGACTCATTTTTCGGGCGTTAGTAGCTGCCATTCGACCTTGGGTCACCGGAATCCGAAAGTGGGCCATAAAAATAACGAACTCGCTCGACGAGAAACACGTAAGGAACCGCGTGTCAGATTCGCGCCACGTTCTCTGTCGCGTGCGCGTGGAGTGTTTATTTCGCGGAATCTTCGCATCGCAACAGGATGTTTTTATTTCGCCGTCTCGGGGTCGCGAGGAACTTCCTGTTCCTGTTTCATCGAACGGAAGTCCCATGCCATAGGCCCTGCGTCTCGTGCTCAAAAAAAACTAGCCGATCGCGCGGGATCGAACGGGGGTCGTACTTACGGCCGGCGCATTATTTCTCGTCCCTTTTCGCGATTTTTCTGACGGTCCTCGGGGGCCTCGACGTCCGCGCGAATTCTTCCTCGACACGGTCTTTACCGTCACGATAAAGTTTCGCGAAAATGGCGGCGCATTGGCGCCATTCCTGGCATCGTCCGGCTCGGGCGGTAAAAACGTTTCCGATGTGTTCAACGACGAATACATTGTCATGAGTTATATATATATATGTAAGCTCTCTAGCGTTCCAAATGCGAGAGAGATAGCGACGTCGGATATAGTTTTTTCGGTACAGTCCAATCAGAAAGTGTCCATCTTACATTTTACAGGGAACTAGGAAAAATCATAGACTTGAATATTAAGTAGACTGCGCGAACTCTTATTGAAGGCATGAAGGCAACGTTAGTGAGATGGAGATAAGGATAGAAACGAGAATTCCTTTCTTGTCTGATTTATTTTTTTTTTTGAACGAATTTTTCAGACGCTTTTACTATTTATACTTTAAAAGGTAGATCTAGATAGGACATATTATTTTATGATTGTTGGATCGAGAAGGATCATGAAAAGAGAATGATTATCCTTGAATAGTGCAGAGTCATATCGAGATGAAATATTTGGCAGCATGTTAGTGATCTGTTTTCTATCTCCCTTTCTCTCTCTCTCTCTCTCACTCTCTCGCTCGCTCGCTCGCTCTCTTGCTCTCTCTCTCTCTCTCTCTCTCTCTCTCTCTCTCGCTCGCTCGCTCACTCTTCTTTTTCTTATTTTCCTTGCCTTCATCCGTCATGAGTCGATCTTCAATTTAGCCTTTTCCTGTCTCGCAACTGACCCAGAATCGTGAAGATAACGGAGTAGCAAGGTGCAACAATGATGAATCTTTATACAATACAAACATAAGTCGGACGATGAGAATGATGAGATGAGAAACGATGCGACTAGAAGAGCTAGAGAATGTATTCGTCGCGAGCATTCGTGATGTATGTAAGTCGTACATATGTAGACGAATGTATGCAGATAGATATCGATTGTGTGCGGCTGCGGCTCATTACCGTAATTGACATTATCGCGGTACCACGCGTTAATTCAATTATTTCGACGACATTAGCTCGCATATTCGGACGCGAAAGAGATTCGACGAAATAATAAAAATACCTTATCTCCTTCCTGAACGATTTCCCTAAACGAGACAAATAATCGAAAAGGATACACATCTGATAATATAATAACTAAAATTTTTGCAATAACTAAAGTTTTTAAAAGTCATTTTTTTCATATTTAATGTAGATATTTAATGTATTCACACATTATGAATGTGTTAATTTTGAAACAAATCGGCAATTTTACAATGAATAATTTGTGTGGGTGACTGCTGTCATATTAAGGTGAAATATAAAGTTAATAAAATATAATATAACGTGTGTATCGTTTTTCATCTTTCATTTGATGATAACATTTCCGATTCTTTTTGTCATAATATATCTATTATATATGTGTGAATTTTTATGTATGAATGTATCATATATATGTATGAATATCTAAACATACTCCGGCTAAAAAAATATTTAAGCAGAAAATAAAGTGTTCTGAAAAAATATTCTGTGTAATACAAAAAAAAATATTTGAAAACTAAAACACATCCACACATGTATATACAAAATATGTAAAAGAGGATAGATTTACATATACTAATATACATATATACATATATATAGCATATTAAAATACGCGACGAATAAAATGATATATAAATTTCCATCTTGCATTTTATATCGTGAATTATAAATCATCTAAAGCAGTTTTTATCTTTAATTACTTATATAAGTAAATCCAGTAAGTTTTCTAGTAAGAGTTTTCTTAAGAGAAAAAGTTTTTAAAAACTTCATTAAAAAATAAAATAAAAAAATTTATTTGTGCAGTATATCTTTTCTTGTATATTTATCGTATATTTCTTAAGATGAAAAAAAGGAAAGAGAGAGAGAGAGAGAGAGAGAGAGAGAGAGAGAGAGAGTGTGTGTGTGTGTGTGTGTGTGTGTGTGTGTGTGTGTGTAATCGTTAAAAGGTAATCGGAAAAGGTGTAATTGATTTTCTTTGTCATTTTAAATTGTATGCAGTCGGAAAGCGCAATTTATATATACATGTATAGTATAGCATAGATAATATATATATATATATATATATATATATATATATATATATATTATTATCTATGCTATACTATACATGTATATACGTATATACATCATGGTTTATTTCTTTATATCATGGTTTAATTCTCGTATGTTCTTGTTTCATGTTGTCGCTCTGTTCATGATCTGCGTACACTTCAAGACGCATGACGTATCGCGTATCGCGTCAGTGTTCAATGTCAGTCACGGTCAGTCACCGGCGTAAAGGAGACGCGTCGCGATCCCTCCGCGAATTTTCCTTTCCGAAGCATATTTAATCCACGAATACAAGTGCCGGGAGTGTCGAATCAAACAAAATACGATCGTTGCGAATTCTCTCAACGTTTATTAATTATCAAGAGCAATCGCAATTAATGGCGTCCTTCGATGTTCGTGTGACGTTGCACACATACGTTGCATCATTCAAATCGACGACATTCGTCAAGAATTTCACACATTCGTGAACGTTTTTCGAGCTTGTCGAGTGCTCAAGAAACATCAAACGCGCGATCGAACATATTAAAGAGTGTGATACAAATTTGTGTTAAAATACGTCGTAATAATTAACTGTTTTCTGATCTTGGCACAAGTCGGATTCGGTCATTATATCTCGCGTCGCGAAGTTGTCGCATAATTCAAAATTTTCAAACGTTATTGCGCATGTAACCTAAGTCGAAGTTGCAAAATGTCGGGCGAGATAATTCCTTCTCCCTCCCCCCTCATTCGTGTTTCACGTTATTTACAAGTTATAAGTACGTCGCGCGCGTTAACGAGATGGTCAATTACTGTCATATCGCGGTAATTAGATGTGTAATTGATTTTCCTGTGCAATTTACGCGAGTGAGTGCGTAGTTCGATGGAGCGTCATCTTAAGAGAGCGGCCGGAGATGTCCAGGCTAACTAAATACATATGGGAAGTAGGAAATTCATCGGGTAAGTAAATTTGCTACTCAAATTAGTTGTATCGATAACGATTCGATAGCAGAAAGGTAGTCGGACTTAAATAATTAGAAAATAGCAAATTTTTTAAACGAGACATCGGCAACTGTCTTGAAAATCGGTAGATTTTAATTAATCGATTAATCAAATTTTTATTGAATTATGGAATGTTAATGTTCACGTGTATACAATTTTAAATTATTAATCTAAGTCAGAAAAAAATCAAGTTTTTGATAAATAAAACAATTGTTTAATATATTTCTTATTTTTATTTATTAATATCTTTCTCTCACCTTCAATATAATTTCTTATCAATAAACACATTTAGAAATGTTTAATGTACTTCATATATTTTAAATATTTAAAGATTTATTTTTTAAAAATTAATTTAAACATTCATTAAAAATTTTTCATAGAAATATGCAAAATTGTAAAGATAAAAGATAAATAATTCCATTTAGCAGCAAAGTTCCGTTAATGTCTCATCTTAAGCTGATGTCTCGTATATTTGCTCGATGCAATGCGTCGATATGCTCTAATCAAGTGAATACATCCAGAACTCAATATTTCCGCCTGATTATCAAAGTCCGATTCACTCGACGTGTTCTGCCAATCACTGTTAAGAGCAACCTCACACATTCGAGGGGATTACCTGAATATCTGAATAATATTTGATTTAGAGAATATTTAAAATTCAATAATATTTTTGTAGTTTTATCGTTTTATAATAATGCAGTGTTCTGTGCACATACACAGTAAAAAATAAAATGTTAATTATAACATTTTTTACATGTCCCAGAAAGTTCACTCTAAATTTTAAGTTAAAATAATTCATTCGTCGTACGTTATCGACAAACTAAAAATAAAATAACTGTTAAATAATTGACACAATATTTTACATTTATTTTTGTTATTGTGACTTTAAATGTAATGTAAAAATAACATACAACTTAATTAAAAATTACATGAAAAAATAGTTACAATAATTCGTAAGAAATGTTAAGGACATTAACATATAATAATAATTATTTTAATTTAAATTATTTATAATAGAAACATTTGATTTTAGTAAATTTGATTATTTTTGTATGTCAAAATTCAAGATTATTTGAAGAGTCACTTTAACTTTTCTCTGTATTAAATCGACTTTAAAACATGTTGACATTGCTTAAAATGATTATGTTAAAAATACTCAAAATAATATTCCATTCCATTCCATTCAAGAGACATATGTAAAGTTGAAAGTGACATAAATGTAACACATGAAAACGTTATAAAAATAATAACATATAGGTTGTATGTTAATTTTACATTGAAGAACTAATCAAAACGTGGTAATACAAGAAAATTTTAACATGTGGACGCATAATTTTTTACTGTGTATATAGCACATTAAAATTTTTCAATCTTTCCCATTCCACTTTTTCTGTATAAATTTGAACTGAAGCTGTCACAAATATTTCAGTAAATTCAGATTGTTATAAATACACAAAATTAACCCTCTTGCGTGTGATACTGAAAATTGAATTCGGCGAATTTACGTTTTCAAACCGCGCATCCGGATATACATGTATATCCGCCAATTTGAGGCGAATATTATATATTACGCGCTAGGCTAACATAATGAGATAACCCGAGATATATAATTTTCCGATACGCGGAAATTCGGGGGCACGCGGAGCATATATAGTACAGTCTCTAGAATTTCTCGCAAGGGTCTCGGGATTCACGAGCAGCCTCATTTTCAGCGCATCTTATCGATGTATGCGAAAGCTGGGTCAGCGAGAGGCAGTGCACATACATGCATACATATATACACACATATAACGGGGCGCGCTATCACGTGCGTGCACCGCCACATCGCGTTAACCATTCCTTATATCGTAATCTAAGAAGGTGGCTGGCCGCACGATCGCGCCTAGTGAGCTTGCATGTTTCGTTTTACGGGAGTACTTGGGACGTGTATGTGTGTATGTGTGTGTGTAGGTTGGTGGCCTCGTGAATTTCTCACGAGGGAAAATGCACGATGGTGTCGCACGATGCCGAGCTTTTCCCGCGACGAAGGAAACAACGATCGCGAACCGCTTTCGCCTCATACACTCTGTCGCCTTAAATTTTCAGAAACTTTCCGGATTAAAATTTCCCTGTCTTTCTCCCCTCGCGAGAGAGAGAGAGAGAGAGAGAGAAAGAGAGAGAGAGAGACACACATTTTCCCGAGAGAGTAAATCGTGCCATAAAAAATAAAATAAAGCTGCCCGCGCATATGGTGCAAAACTATGGCAAAGGGCGAAGATCGATCGACTTTTGTATTATGTTTTATTTAAGACGTCGGAACCGACGATTCTTAATCCTCGCTAAAAGATTGTTTCAAGAGGAAGATAACTTTGTTCACTTGATATAAAATGATAATTTTACTTCCTATTTATGAAAATGTGTTTCAATATCGTCACATTTCGTCTAGAATAAAGTTTCTTCGAGAATAAAGATTCTTCAATCTGTAGGACATGTTTTGATTAGATTCTTGCACCTTAAATGATCAATTTCAAAATCTGCATATGTTTGTGTGTATGTTTTTTTAATTATCGATGGCGAGTATTGTGCGATGAATTTACTACGATTAATTAAAATCTACTAACGAGAGTATAATAAACAAGAAAAATAATCCACACTCACAATTAATTAAAATTTATAACAGGAATAAAAAATAAAAATAATCAATTATGATTATGAATTCAACGCTATTATGACAATAGTACACACTGCAGTGACTGCATCGCGATGCAATGGCACATCTTTAAGCGTTATTTACACGATGTCTTATTTTACTTGTGATTAATATAATATGCATTAGTGAAAAGGTATCATGCATTTTAGATTTTATAGCTAAACTTCAGTTTTGCTTTTTGTCGCCAACACGCTACTCCAATTGAAATATTCAATTAACTAAATAAAACAATTAATTAAAATTTACTAACGGGAACAAAAAAAGAAAAATAAGCAAAATTATGATCATGAATTCAACGCTATTATGACAATAAATAGTACACACTGCAGTGACTGCATCGCGATGCAATGGCACATTTTTAAGCGTTATTTACACGATGTTTTATTTTACTCGTGATTAATATAATATGCATTAGTGAAAAGGTATCATGCATTTTAGATTTTATAGCTAAACTTCAGTTTTACTTTTTGTCGCCAACTACAACACGCTACTCCAATTAAAATATTCAAACTTCACCAACGGCTATTACTATGCTTTATTAATCGCCAATCTTATAAAAACGTTATAGATTACAATCACATTTTTAATACAAGTAGACACATCTCGGATAATCTTAAGTGATACGAATACGATATAATGTCGGTATATATTAATCTAAAAATATTCGGAATAGGCGGAATAACTTTTTCTCTCCCTAACTGTTGATTTTTAGCATGCTTTGAACAAACATGTTAGTAAAAAAAAAAAAAGCATCGTGTCAACTATACGCGTGCATGCCGGGCGTTCGCGTTCGTGCGGTGTATAAGTAGTCGATTATTACGCCGCGCGTTTCATGCGGCGTTTCAGAAACGCGCTGCGGGATCCAGGAAGTGCTGCACGGGAAATGAGATTCTTGCGTGAACAATACTTGACCCGCGCGGTGCGGTACATGTGTGTGTGCGTGTGTGTGTTACATCACGAGAAGAGGGCACGAAACCGAATTGGCATTCGACGACTCGCGGAATTTGCGCTTCACAATCGTAAGCGGCGTCGATATCGTGCCCGCCTCGATATTTCGTCTCGATTGTTCTCTCTCTCTCTCTCTCTTTTTTTTAGTGATTTCATTTTTTTTTAATGTCCGATACAGACGTTGAATTTCGTGCTTTCCAATAACTATGCAGTAGACGGCGGCAATACGTTTGTTTGTACGTACTTACATCGATTTCGCGAAGATCGTATAGCAATATACGTATCGGAAAAATAAGCTAAAAATATATTGCTTTATTGCTATATTCTAGTTTCGATCAGTAGAATCAATATTTTTTTCTCCACCAGCGAAAATAACTTACAAGAAACTGCCCTTTCCCATCCGGTGAAAATTTGCCGAACAAATGAAAATAATCTTAACATGCGCTTCGACACTGAAAAATTATCCACCTTAAAATTTCGAGACTTCAAATTACCATGTTCGATTAATCATTCGTAATCTCGGATAAATCGCTTAAATCGTTGGCAAATATAAATTAATCCACCCGCTCAGATTGAACAAATTAAAACCGATGCGGTACACAAGGGTAACTCGGTCGGGAGGAAAGTTATTTCTTCGTCTTAACAGGCCGCTTCTTCTTTTTCTCCTCGGGTCGATACGGCCCCAACTTCCGGCGCACCATGACGCCCCGCCACCAGGCTTGGATCCTGATTGTGCAACGTTGCACGTGATCCTCGTGTTCCTTTTGCCTTTGGAGTGCCTCCTGCTCCGCGAGATATGTGTCGATGAATTTCTGATTGCTGCAATACTGTAACAAACACTGTGTTTCAATACGAGTTTACTGGCACATCTTATGAAACTCCTTGTGCTCTTTCGAAAAAACAAGCATAAAATACATGGAGCCTTTCTTTTATATGATGGTCGCAAACCTTTGAAGACAATATGAGAAAGATGAATCTTGTACAATACATATCCATATTCATGTTGTATAAAATGTAAAACTTCCTCATATTGTCAAGTATCCTCATATGTCACAAATATTAACCAAAATATTAACAAGTATTATTTATAAAAGGCAATTAATATATTGTTTTACATTTTAAATGCATTGTAACAGATTATAATAAATTTAAAACAATATATTAATTACCATTTATAAATAATACTTTTTAATATTTTATTAATAGTTAATATTTGAGACATATATAAAATCTATAATTCAATAAAAATTCTTTCCAATTTATTACAAGTATTAATTGACTAATATATTATTAGAAATTATAAAAGATTTGTATTAAAATTTAATTTCTTTTTTTTGAAAGCAAGTTGAAAACGTGAGATCTTTTCATAATTAAATTTTCTTCTCTTCTCGATTAGGTTACATATTACAAAAAAAAAATTCGTTTCCTATACTCTATGTAAAAAAGTCCGAAGATTTGATAATTAATGCATAGACTTTTGGTCACATACAACGGGTAAATCCTAGCTTAAATGTATACCAACTCGAAATGTATCGTGTATGAAAGGCTTTCCGAGGCTTAGGATTTGAGGATACCAGCTATTAATAATGATCATCGAGACATTTCTGTATCTCAACCTGACGCGAATTATCGATTACCCGGCAAAACTTTGGCGCACCCTTTAAACTCGGCCGAACCAAGTTACCCGAGCTCGATTGCCTATAGGCTTACAGCGAAACGTGATGCAGTAAATTAGACAGTCATACAGAGAATACAAAATAAGACCGTGATTGTGTTGTTTGTTGCCTGGTCGGAAAATCCTCCTTATCCGGCAATTAAGGTTTAACAGAAGCGAAATAGTCGAAATAACGAGAGCGGCGAAATTGAATTACTTTTCTGCACCGTTTCTGACGCCTGAGAATGAAATGAAAATATTTCTCATACCGTAGCATAGTTTTCTAATCATTACCTCCGTTTTAAGTTGCTCCAAGTATTTCCGAGCGTCTTCTATCTCATTGCGTACTTTGAGGATCTCTCTCTCATAGATCTTCTTCTCCCGATCATACCTCTCTCGCCATTGCTCGATTCGATTCTCGATGAACTGTATAAATTCAAAGTAAATATTTTTGTTACCTACGTAAGGATGCTACGTTTTAAATTTTCTCGATGGAACTTATTTCGAGTAAATTACTTAACGTTCAGCAAAAACACTGGATCAATTTTAACATATTAAAAGAAATCGTAAAACGTTCGAATTTCAAGAAGAATCTTTTTCCACAACATTTTCAGCTTTTTCGCTAAAGAATTTACTGAAATTTATCGCTTAAACGTCTGCCTTAATTTTAACGACGGACCTTTTAAGACTTAAATATTTCAGTATACAATCTATCTAAAACTTTTCTGCTATATATTTTACGAGGAAAAAAATTGTAGAAAAAAAGATTTGCTCACTCACCGCGATACGCCATGTCAGATAACGCGTTAATTCGCTGTTTACGCAATTTTCGTTTTTCTCGCGTACGTAACAATTATTCAAAGTCCTCTCCAGTTCGTCCATCTTTAATTTGTAACGTAGTACGTTCTGTTCGCGACGTGCCGTCTCCCAAGCTCGGACGTATCTCATCTCTACGTCCTTAATTAGTTTCAGTCTCTCCTTCTCATCCTAAACATTTTGCCAACAAGTTTTGTTGAGCGTGACCTTATACGCATAACAAATAGCAGTTAAATAGTAAAACTTGATGATTTATCGTCATTGTATCGCGCGCGACACATGTATATGTTTTATATGCATATAGTATATGAACTTTCCTTGACTCGTATGAAGTATTGTATTTATACCCGTGTTAAAGTAAGCTTCCTTGTTAAATTTTCCTCCTCCTTCTCGTTCGACGTTTTCTTATCGACGATCTTTTTTCGTAACTCCGCTAGGATAATTTGCATTCTTCCGTTCTCCTCCGATAAAAAACTCTCCTGCTCCTCCTCCGATGTGATTTTCTCGATTTCCTTAATTAGTACCTCGATAGTCCCGCGTTCGCTAATTTCTTGCTTCAAGTCTCGTATTATATCGCTCACATACAAACTGCAATGTAACATTGATATCTCTTGAGACCGATATATATGAATATTACTGTAGTTGAGTTTACACATTAGATCTACGTAGCAATAAAAGATTAAAATAGCTTGAATTCTCTTAAACATAGCGTAATATTTTGGAGATAATATATATCTGTACATATCTTATATATAATTTTATCATAGAAGTATAAAGTAATCAAAATTTTTATCCAAATCAAAAGAAATAAACGTAAATATGAGACGTAAGTACACATTATAGGAGAAAAAATTGGAGTAATAATATCTAAAAGAGATAAAAAATGTAAAACGACAAGTGTAATCATCGTACTTTATTCGATTCAAGTTTTATATGAAACTGGATATGATATAAATGAAAAAGAAAACCGAATTTATTTATATTTATTTTTCGAGAAATTATTACGTATATTAATTTACTAATTATATAACTCATTTCGAAGTTTTCCGCTCGAGAGTGATCTATTCGCTACTGCCCAGTTGTCGGCTTTATACTTTCAGACGGTGTAGACAGGCTAAATGAACAACCTGTCTCGTTGAAGCTTTTCACGCACAGCTTCCCTTCGTGAATCTGTCATCTCCGCGACGTTTCCGATAAGCGACTGCAAAATTGACGTTTCCGAAATTCTGCAAGTAGATATGCAAGGACAAATTGTCATGATATTGGTGTTTTTTTATTGCGTATCCGTTAGACGTACTCAATTTTGGGATAAAAATTAACGGCGTCACCTCTCATCACCGGTTGCTGTCCCAAAGTGTTATGATAAATGATTAATGAATCCGCGCATTCCTGTAAGATCTCCAGAACAGCCTCACGTTCCGCCGGTGAGAATGTTGCAGAATTTTTCGCTTCTATTGACGCTTCCATTTTTTCTTTTTTCTTTTTTCTTTTTTTTTTAATTTTAGCGAAAAAAAATTTGTTGTTCGTTGATTGCTACAAACCTTGCGCTACTATTTTACGTTGACCGACTTGTGTACACACATGTGAAAGATAAAACTATAAAATACGAGAATATATAACTTTAAAATTGTTTTAGCAACAACTATGAAAATAACAAGATCAAATATTTCGCGTTGTAAAAGTTGTTTCTCACGGTAGAATAAAGTTTATACGTTTGCACATGGCACGTGTATAATATATGTATTGGTATGTACGTTTTGTGTCCAGAGTAGGCAAATTTAACATTAAACGTATCTGACTGGTAGATATATCATGTCAGTCTGCATCTATCTGATGAACCAATTTATCATGCGTTCGTCTGTAGATATGTTGTACCGCGATTTCAATGTTATTTTCTCCCATTACTTTCGTAAATTCTGAGCAACATTAACAGCAGAATCGAAATATAAATTATGCTTTCAGAGAAATATCTGCAGAAGAAATCCCCTTTATTATAGAAGGATATGAATATATAAATTAATCAAGAATATAAATATAAAAGAATAAAATAAAAATTTTTATTAAAATCAAAAGAAATAAACGTAAATATGAAATGTAAGTACATATTTAAATGGCGCAAACATATAAAAGCGAAGTAAATATGGAGTAAAAATTGGAGTAAGAATATCTAAAAGAAATAAAAAGTGAAGAGAAAAGGATAAAAATGAACGATTAAAGATGCGATTAATATGTTGCATATTAAATGAGATTTAACTTTCCAAAATTATTTTTTATAATATTGTAAACTAAATTAATATACATATATATTTTTTAATGATATAATACTTTATATTTCGATTTAATTTAATAATTAAAAATTGTTAATATTTTATTTTATATTTTATATTGCTTATTTTATATTATTTATTATTGTTTATTATATATTATTTATTATTTATTTCTGAAACAATATAATTATGTGATAGCAAGACAGAGAGAGGAAAACGCATTTAATTCACTTGTATACATATAGTCGAAGCATGCATATAGTGCAACACACATTGAAAATAGATAATACACGTATATTACCGCATATGTAATATTGTAAATTAAATTAATATACATATATATTTTTAAATGATATTATACTTTATATTTCAATTTAATTTAATAATAATTAAACATTGTTAATATTTTATTTTATATTGTTTATTTTATATTATTTATTGTTGTTTATTATATATTATTTATTATTGTTTATTATTTATTTCTGAAACAACATAATTATGTGATAGCAAGACAGAGAGAGGAAAACGCATTTAATAATTCACTTGTATACATGTAGTCGAAGCATATAGTGCAACATACATTGAAAATAGATAATACACGTACATTACCGTATATGTATGCGCAGACAGAGCGTTACAAATTACAAATAAGCAGACATTTTTCCGGCTTAATTAGGCACATCACATTACTGGACGCGCAGTCATCACATCGATCCTGACATGTGACTGTATTGCGAAAAAAAGAACCGACCAACTCTATGACTTTGCGAACCTTTCGAGCGAGTTAAACAGTTTGATCCATCGTCGCGGGCTGCCGTGGAAACGAACCCAGCGACCGCTGGGACATTAAAGCGAGAGAAAAAAAGGGGGCAGGGCTTCACGCAAAGAGCAGCGCTTACCGCAAATGAAAAGGAAGCATTTGCCGAGGAAATATCTCTTTTGCGATGTCAAAAAAAGCGCGAATACGGTTTCCGACTTGAGCGAGCTGTCGGCGCTTTTGAGATATAACTTTTTCAAATTAACTTCGTTGAATTCGCCGCACATTCAAAATTTTGTTAAACGAAAAATGAAATGGAAGAAAATCGCACGAAAAATCTGGAAAGTTGCGATTCAACGCATTCGCATGTGTATTTCGTTATTCTCAAACACGCTCTCCGAAACGCGATTTTGCTTTTCGCATTTGCGGAAAAGTTTGAAGTGAAACTCTCGCGAAGAAGTTTTGGCCTTTTAAAGGTGTAGACATCTAATGCGAACTTGAAGGAAACCAAGTACATCTTGGCTTACACGAAACCGAAGAAATGTACCGTATAGTTCTGCTGCAACACGCCATAGAATGCTTAGAATTATCGATCTTAAGTATCATAAAATTTTTTTCATTCGTTTTATTATTTCTCGTTAAAATGAAAGACATTTCATGCGATTTTCTTACTATTATCTCTATTTTCAACAACTATATAATGTTCTAATCTTTTTATTACAATATAATAATATAATATATTATTTATTATATTATTATATTATAATCAAAAGACTTGATTATTATTTTATTATAATAAAATATATTATAAAAATAATATAAATAATATATAATAAAATAAAAATATTATAAAATATAAAAATAATATATAATATCATAATATAATAAATTATAATATAATAAAATAGTACAAAATAAGTAGTACAAATATAGTCTGTAAGAAATAAAATGGAAAAGATCGTAAATTGTCGAATATATATTATACGCATTGCAAAGAAAGCTTTACAAACATAATTAAATATAATGGATGTCATGATAGATCTTATCTCCCTTTGCGACAAAACTCACATTGGCAAAAAGAAACTAGAGAAATTCGATCGGTCTGTCTGATCTGTTTAAAGAGGAGTGACCTCACGCTATTGATTCTTCATCAATTATTACGCTCCTACAAGCAAAGCAAAGTGGTCGAAAGTCGAAAACTGCTAAATTGATACCGACATAATTGCTATCCGATCGCATGAAGATCCTGGCCTCGGTATCCGTCGAGAAAAAATTCTTCAGGCAAAAAAGGACATGCTATCACGTACCAGTTTGATTGGAAAAGTTTCTCACGTCGAGAGAGGACATTAATTGAATCTGCATTGTCTAAAAAGAAAGTTCTTTGCGTGACTTGTCTTCTCGTTTAATGTAAAAGATCGTGAATTTGTGAAAACAAGATGGTGATGTCGCCTCTTGTAAAAAAATTTGAAGCATTCCGAATTTGTGTGTGTGCACATGCGTGTATATGTATTTTGTATTTTTATTATACTGTTTTTTAAGATTTATTCAATGAATAATTTAATGGATCACACCCAAATTCAATGATTAGGCAAATCATGTTTCTATTTAACTTTGAAATTAAAAGTAAATTAACTCGAGAAATTCATATTATACAAATGAAAGATTAAATCAAAATTATTATGTGAAATGTGTACATATGTATATTTATTTATTTTAATACATATATTATTATACAAAAATAAGAATAGTTTATTTATAATGTGATTATTTTGAATAAATTTATAAACAGTAAATAAATTTTAAATCGGAAATCTCTATATTTTATTTTATAGATATGAACGCAAGAAACTTTTTTTTAAATTTCATATTTTACTTAATATTTATATATATATATATATATATATGTGTGTGTGTGTGTGTGTGTGTGTGTGTGTGTGTAATACTTTTATCGATAATTATTTAACCATCAATCTTCCGATACGATTGATGCTCTGCAATTTACGATAGATTTCGTACAAAGTCTATTTATCGGTTAATCCCATTGGAGATAGAGCTAATATGAAAGATGTAAAGCAAATAGAGATTTTCTTCATTTCTTTTTTTTCATTTTTCTTCTTTAAAGATTCAATTATTGAAAATTTATATTCTACGGTAACGTCTCGTTTACAGTGAAAGGGAAAATTTAATCTTTACCATACAATTAATCTGAGATTTCTGAAAAGAATAGCTTTGAATTTTTATATATTCTTTAATATTATATATATGGACTAAAAAGTTGGATTAAAAAATCATATATGTGTTATGAATTTTTTAAAATAAAAAGAAAAAATATAGATAAAGAGGAAAAATTTAGCTTAACGATTTACCTGTTTTTTTATTTATTTCACTTCTTTTTAGGAAGATTTAAATAATTAAGTTTTTTTAATAATTAGAATATGTTATAGGAAATTCTCTTTTATCTCGTATTGAAGAGTAAGAAGATGGAAATTTAATGATCTCCATTTTATTTTATAGGATTTAAAAAAAGATTATCGCACAAAGTGTAAGATATATTAGTACATAGAGAAGAGAAACGGATTCAAATGCTATTAAACTAATTCCCGACTCCAATAATTCATTTTAACAGAATACGAGAAAAATTAATTTCCCTCGATTCTTTTTAATCCACTTGCTTTTATGAAAACGACTTATACTAATTTCAAAAGTCATACATACGATCTCCAACAAAAACAGATCAGACGTAAGAGACAATCGCGTTCCACATCAAAGGCTTCAAATAAATTTCCCAAAGCTTGCTTTCGGATTATTCTTTTTCCAACTAACAATAATGATCGTGATATGCGATTCAAAACGAAATAAATAAAAAACAAAAAAAGTTAAAAAAAAAACAACCGACTGACGGCGTTTCGTTCAACGACTTAAATAGGGTAACTGTCCCTTATCTAAGACAAGGGTGAGGACGCACCCCATCGCTTGTTATCGTAGTCCGAAAAGTGGACCTAACCCGCGCAAAGGACATAGATAGGTACACATGCGGAGGCGCGTTTGCGCGTTGGCGAGGCGGCGTCGCGACGGCGCGTTGGCGTCGCGCCCAGTGTGTGGCGAGGATGCGCGAGGGCGGTGTCGGTGGGGTGGTAGCGAGAAAGAGTCGTTCTCGTCTACTCGTCGTGCGTTCCTCGCCGTCGTCGTCGTCGCCGTCGTCGACGTGCGCGTCGCGGCGCTCGGCCCTCGAGACGCAAACCCCCAACCGCGGAACGCGGTCGCGGTGATTGTTCAGGTACTCCGTTTTGATACGCGACACCTGGTGTGTCGTATCTCTCGAGTCGTCGGGACCGACAGAGAAAGAGAGAGGAAAGGGAGCACGCGCGCATCTCATCCACGATAACGTCGCGCCCGCTTTTCACGTGTGTGCGTCGTCTCGGAAACGTCCTCGGCTCGCTGCAGGAGCGTGCAAAGTTATAATCCCGCCTTGTCGTCGTCGTCGTCGTCGTCGTCGGCATCGTCATCATCGACGTCGTCGTGGGTGGTGGTGGTGCTAGTGCCGGTGCTGGTGATTGTCTCGTCTGCTGTTGTCCAATTGTTGTTATTGTCTAACGTATCTCACACCGGGGGTAAGTTGATTAGGTTCCTTTCGCCTCCGAATCCCAGTGGGATCATGTTATTCCGTGGAGACGCGAAACGGGTAGAGAGGACGCGACGAAAGTGTGTTTCGGGGAGGCAAGTTTTAAAAGCTTAACCCATATAATTCGATTCGTGTCTTACCGAGGGTTGTCACGAGTAACCTAGTTGGCAATTTTCGCAACCCTCGTGTTTACGTCGCTTCTTTTTACTCTCTATCTGTCCCTTTTCTTCTTTTACTTTCAACCTCACTACCTCTCTTTCTCGCTCTCTTTTTCGCGGGTGGGGGTGGTAAACACGCGTTCTGCAGAAACATCGATGAAATGACGCTGAGAATCCCGCCAGTGGGAAATAACCTCGGTAAATCGCACTTTTATTCGCGTTGAGTTTAACTTCATTGTTCTAACGAGCAATAAAAATGATTAAATTGATATCGTTATAATCCTAGTAATTCAGATATTGATGCGCTATTAGAGAGAACGAGAATGATCTCAGATTCAATTGAAATACGATTGACATGGATTAGATATAATTGTATCGAAGATAAAAACGTGACATCGCATGTTTATTTATAAAATAATAATCATGATACTCTTTTTAATGTAGTTTCATATCACGACCAATATATAACTCACCGTAAATATTTTTATGTCATGAAAATATTAAATTTATCATTGAAAAAATACAATTTTAATTGAGCTGTTATTATGCAAATATACAAATTAATGTATAAAATTTTTAGATAGTAGATACATGTGAAAGCAACATAAAACGCTTTTATTTAAAATGATTAATTGACTTTTTATATTTACATAACAAAATAATTATCCTCTATATTTGATATCTATATTATAGATATTTATATAAATACTTTATTCGATATTATATCGATATCTCTCTCATTCTCAAGTTACCGATATTATTAATCAATGTTGAAAGTTAGATGTAATAAAATAATACTTCAGCCGCTATTGATTCGTCTCTTATGCTCGAAGAAGAAAATTATTTTCGATCGGTCGTTGCATATTATGTATGTTTATGTTGCATGTATAAATATCGCTTATACTTGCGATAATTAATTATGTTATAAAAATACTTCTTTTTCCCCTTTTCTCTCTTTATTTTTATCGATTATTTGTTAATTATATTATGCTAAGATAGTGCTAAGCTATTATAAGTTAGCGCGATTTATTTGACCTGTTCTCTTGAATCTTTTCTTATTTTGGTAATTATTATTCGCTAAATGAAACATGATTTTGCTGCATTGTTACGAGACTTTTGTCATAGAGAATATGAAATATATATTCTCTTTTGCAAAGGGAATTAACGGCTTATCTCAATTCGGAACTCGATTAACGAATCACCATTTAAATCGAATTTCCTTGCGGGACGCGTTGTAAGAGCACTCGACTTCTCTCATTTTGTTTGTCGCATGGGTACTCGTACGATCGTTTTTTTCCGTCACGCTTCCAATTAACGTCCCACAAGCGGTCGAGTACTTAATTTACATATAAGCTTGGAGTGGGCATTTCTGGTGTCAGACCGCTTTTTTATGCTCGATACCGAACGAAGAAAAATAGCAAACAGATTACATATTTTTTTCGCACATATGTTAAATTTGTAAAAATTAGATATTGGGATAAATTTCGGGTTTGTAATGCACACATTTTTTTTTAAACTTGCAATACGGCTCATTTTAGTCAAAGTTTTGAAAATTTAAGTTAAAACACACGTAAGGATATCCGCAGTTTTAATTTTTGATGAATTCCTTGAATTATTCAGAATTAAATTTCCTTCACACGAAACAAAAATGATATTTAATATCGAGTAACAAACAATAGTGAAAAAAAATCCACTCATATTTCAAAAATTTATCAAATATCTCGTTTAAAATTGTATCTGACATATAATTTTAATATATTTCATTAAAAATGATATCGATATAGAAGATAAGTATTCCAATTACTAAGAGAAAAATCAAGAGAGCCGCGTCAATTGACGACGATTTAATGGTCAGCTAATTTGGCGCGTTAAATCGGCCTGACAACATGACAGAGGTAATTCCGTTCGCGATCGTCGTCGTGGGAATTCGGGATTACGATTTGCACGTGAGGAGCAAACCAATCACACGCGGCTATTATTTACCGAGCGTAAAGCAAGCGCCAGCGGCTAAGAAGTTTATATGCTAAGAACAGATTTCATCGCTTTCGCACGAGAGAGAGAGAGAGAGAAAGAGAGAGAGAGAGGGAGAGAGAGAGAGAGAGAGAGAGAGAGAAATCTGATTTAATCCTTTTAATTGTTACTAGCGGAAAAGGATTGTGATTTAATCTTCTGAAATCTCAGTTGTAAATCGCGAATTTTTACGATAGTACATTTAAATCTATATGCAAACATACGTGTTTCGATATCCTGGTTAAAATGATACATGTTACGTTTTATATTTCTCTCTCTCTTTACTCTCTTTCCTTCTGTCCCTTTCTCTCTTTTTTTTCTTCCTCTCTCTTATTCGATAAAAAATGCATGCAGTTATTTAAATTTTTTGCAAATGATATTTTTTCTTTATTTTTTATATTTTAATATTTTATATTAAGAGCATTAATATAAAATCATCTAAAAAATAGAACAGAAAGAAATATAGTTTCAATAACGTTGTTCCTTTTCTCTCTTTCTTTTTTAAATTTATAAAACAAAGTCGTTTGAAAAAAAGAATCTTGCTCAACGCTCACTATCGAGCATATGAATATTTTATACATATATGGTTCGTGTATTTAATGCCGTCTTGTGAGGATTTCATTTGCGCGAAATGTCGGTTATAAAATGCTTTATCGTTGGCTTCAGAATTGGTAACAGCATTTCAGGAAAGTACTGAATATACCGCATAAAATAATTAAAACTTTCATCGCCGCTTCTCTTATCAACGTTACGCCGCTTGTTCCGTCATATGCAGATATGTTCGATTTAGCCTCAAAACCGCAAAAGATATTAATATCGAATATAACTAAAAAAATATCGAATATAACTAAAATGGAAAATTAGAATCGAGATTCGAAAATTCAAGGGTCCCTTTTTCTAAAAGTTCTTTAACTGAAATTTTTTTTATTTCGGAAATTAGAAATTTAATGTTAAAATTTATTTCGCGACTTGTCTATTTTGTATACATAATAAATACAATGAAACTTTTATAATACTAGAACATTACAAAATACGAGCTATTTAGTTCCTTCTATTATATAATATAATCCGAAAAAGATATGTATATATAATTATATATAATTAATAATTAAATTATATATATACATATGTATATTATATATATATATATATATATATATATATAATTATATATTATATATAAGTATACCACAAATATATATAGGCAACTTACAATTAGATACGTATAATAGAGCGACTTTCTTTTTATCGCTTCTTACAATATTCTATATAATATTCTATATACTTATATATATATATATATATAATATATATATATATATATAATTTGATAGGATTATATATATTCATATATATAATCTTATATATTTTATGTGCATGATTACATAAAACAGGCATTATTTTTTCTTTCTCCATGCTCATTGCTCACTGCTTATTGCTCACTGCTTCTGTTCTTGCTCATTGCTCATCCTCGTGTTCATTTTCCTGCTTCTGCTCCTCCAAAGTTTGAAGAAAAAAAATTGCTCATATATAAAATTATGTATAAAATTACATAATTATATCTAGAATTTTAATTTTTTTTATAAGTCAAAACGCGCGTGTGCGTATCATTTCATTTTTTCTATTATGTAGTAAAATTTGAAAAAAATTCTGTGTAGTTTAATTAATATAAAAATTCTGTGTAGTTTAATTAATATAAATATACAGTTTAATAAATAAATAAATAAATAAATATATATATATATATATATATATATATAGTTATTTATTTATGTACATTTATATTAATTAAACTATAAAGAATTTCTCTCAGATTGTATTATATAGTAGAAGAAATGAATATATATAGTGTGTGACATGCGTTTTATAATTTCTAGTAATAATAAAATCAAATGTAATAAATAGAAACAATTTTTATCAATGCTAAACTGTCAGATGTTGATTAAAACAAATTGAAATTCGAAAAATAATAAGGATGATTGTCAAAAAATTAAGTAAAAATTTTTATTTTTATAATGCAAAAATATTTGTTCACACAAAAATTCACACAAAAATTTAATTATAAAATGTATATATATATTTTTTCTAAAAATATAATATTTTAAGGAAATTGAAACACACATACATACATATAACATAAACTACATAAGCGTATCTTTCATTTTGTGTGTGTATTTGTACAATTACTTATATATTAATTTTTCCGTTTTTTCAAAATCATTTGAATTAAAATTTTACATACATTTAAAATTGAGTTTTTAAAATGTTTAAAAGACTATCAAATGCATCGCTCAGTTATTGATAGGTTTTATTGATATGAAGTAATGTATAGCGCAGCATCGAGATAATCAATCAGCATTGCGGAAAAGAGGGATATTTGCGAATATCGATTTGTTGTTTTTAAGAGTGGAAAATTAAATCAAAAAACAAAAACACATATATATACTTGTCGGATAAAGATGAATAGAAATTTTCCATTCTTGGATAATTTTTTGTTTTTAATTATATTCTCTTTCTATTCAATTTTATGTTAATTAATTTTCTCACTTTCGGATAAAGCATTATTTTATGTTTTTATTAGCTTGTCAAATAAAAGATTGTTCTTTTAACGTCAGTCGAGGTGTATTGTTAATTGCTTCGCTCTACAACCTTTGCTCTGAATAAATCTTTTTTTTTCTTTTTTTTTCATAAAATGGAAAGTGCGAAAAATGCTTTTGTCCAGAACAAAACGTGTTTTTCTTTTTCTTTTTTCATTTTTAGAGTGGATAGTGAAAAGCGCGTATACAATGTTATTCGATGAGCTTCCAAAGAATGTTGTGCAATTTTGAGGGCACAAAGAGCGGCGGGAGAATATCGTTGAAGTTTACCTCATTCTCATTCTTTTATCAGCATCAGAAAATTTCATTGAGCAAGATTAAAAGATACTTGTTTAGTACCTAATGATTCGAGATAGTTCAACGTGCTATAATTTTATACATTTATACCTTTATTTATATCCTTATTGTACCTTAAAATATCTCAATTTTTCTTCGTTGTCTTTGAATCTTTCGAATAGAGTGTCATGAGTATTTTATGTTTCTTTACCGATACAAAAGTCTTGAGTTCGTCCTCGACAAGCAGACACACCGGCGACCGATAAGAGCA